CGGTACATATGGTACGTATATGTAGTTATACTTTCTTATAGTTCCCTCGACGGATATCTATGATATCACAGCGCATGTAAGGAGGAGTGTTTTCAGTGATATTTGTTTAAAACGGGATGTGGTTTTTGTTGCACTGTGCTAAGAACGGCACAAGGGACTCAACCATTGGTTGGCTTGAAGCCCAAAACTGGTCAAGAGAACTTTGTTTCTTCATTGCCCCCCGCACGCTACAGTCCCCCATCACTCGAGCGGACCGAGTCAGTAACGCCCCATGGGGACCTTCTTAAATTCAAAGAACGCCATTCGGCGCTTTTCGGCCCAGGTTGATCGATACATGTGAAATGCAGGTTGAGATCAGGCTTCGGAACGCCCCGACAATGCGCTAGATTAGTAGAGTAGATTAGCGGAAATAGCAGTGAAAAGATGCTTAATTCCCAGTTGAGCGCGGTCACTCCTCATAGGTATGTGTGGTGTACGTAAATAATACACTCAAACTATTAAAAAAGGAAGCTGGCCCTATTCTAGCTGATCGGGGAGGAGCTATTTGCATATGTACGGCGGAAGATTTAATGCGCAGGCATTTGGCGGATGGAACCGTGTATGGCTTGGCCGCGACCCTGATAAAAGGTAATGATATCATCCTAGATGTTGATCTGTGGAGGTGAGAAGGGCGCATTGAATGACAGCTGGTTCATCATTTCCCTCGTAGTATGTATATAGCGGCGCGTAAAGTATATACGCGGCTTACATCTCGGTACAAATCATACATTATTGTACCTAATTGTACGATAGCCTGGTTTGGAATAGGTACAGATAGTGTTCCTATTAAGATTCCTAATTTGATAAAAAGTTGGTTGATCCGTTTCGAACCCCAGCAAGAACACCCACCGAGGTACATACTTGACTGTTTAAGTCTAAGCAGTTAAACTGTTTAGTGATTTAAGCAGTAGAACTGTTTAAAAAACTGTTTAAATGCTGTTCAAAAACTGTTTAAATTTTATATGGGCGCGCGGTGTAGGAAACTGCTTATATTAAACACCGTAACTGTTTAGATAAGTTGTTTAAGTAAAGCAGCAAAACTGTTTAGGATAAGTTGTTTAAGTAAAGCAGTAAACTGTTTAGGATAAGTTGTTTAAGTAAAGCAGCAAAACTGTTTAGGATAAGTTGTTTAAGTAAAGCAGCAAAACTGTTTTCATTAACTGTTTTATTTAAACAGTCTTTTTGGCGACCTATGGACTCATGATTTAAACAGTTTACGACTGTTTAAATTAAGCAGTTTATTTTTTAAGCAGTTAGTTTAAACAGTTTTACGTTATCTATATATAGCTGTTTAATTTAAACAGTATTTTAAACAGTATTTTAGTAGCATATTATTTCGCAGTAGCTATTCAATCGCAACCGTTGACTATGGTATACGATACAGTTAATCTTCCCTATCTAATTATAATATACCTATCACCCACTCGCAGCTCTTATAGATCAATTGTAACGTGTTGCAGTTGGAAAAGTGTATCGGTATTAACGACGCTTGGTGATGTCGCAATGTGGTATTGTTGAGCATATCTGAAAATTACACCTCAGACCACGCCCATGCAAGTTATATATATGAAGAGGGCAGTTACCTATTATCTCCCGGGCTTAGCCTCTGACGTTCCACGTGCAGTTAAATACGCTGGTGGATTGCGTGTTTCAAACCCAGCCCACTCTTCCTTCCATTTATTCTTCGCACATTTCAATTTATTAGCATCACCGGTAATTTTCTGGGTCTCTCCGTTATCTAAAACTTTCATACTTTTGGTAATCTTCCTAGTCGATTTGCGTTTATTGATATCCTCTTGCAATTGATCTGCAGTCTGTGAAGCAGGCAGTTGTGACTCCGGGATACTCTCATTTTTTCTTGGGCGGCCTCGTTTTCTCTTCACGATAGGCGAAACAGCTGTCTGTGTACTGAGGATTTGTGAATCTGGTACTTGAGATGGCTCCGGTGATAGCAGTTGGACATGTTCAGGATACGAGAATTTTCTTTTGCAAAGTTTATTGCTTTCGTTAATCATCTCTAAGCGCTCCGGTGAAGCCGAGTCCTTGTTCGAATCAGGTGGGCTTATCAATCCCGTACTACTTGGCAATTTGTCCTTTTCGTGATCATTCGGGGTGTTTGGGACGAGAGTTTGTGTTATTTCGAAATGATTATTGATGTCCTGTCCTCCAATCACAAGGTCAGGTTCTCCAGGCTCTTCAGCAGGCTATGGCATAGCACCGATATCGTTAGTTCTCCGTATAACAAAAAAGAATTCTTACTATAAATTATATCTCTAGGCCGGGGGTTATCGCCAAACCAGTGAATTGTTTCTACTCCTAACACGAGCACCATCCTCCTCCTCCTCCTCCTCCTCCTCCTCTATAAACGCTCGCTGTATAGTCGACAACACCAAAAGTTAGCAAACAGCTGACATGAATCTAGGAGTATATGATCAGGGCATATAAACTTACCGCTTCCTTGATACAAATTTCTGCCCCACACTCAGCGTATTGTTCTATCATCCTTTCCAACTCGACAGGATAGGCAAGAGGCTTCCACTCTTTATCACGCCCACCACGTGCCCGGTAAAACATAGACTCATCAGCCTCTAAAGTAACACGACTTTGAATTTCAAGTTCAAACTCGTCCCATTCTATGTCGGTGGCAAAACGGAAAACCCTTTTGCCCATGAACACCTGGATGACATCCTTCTCCTTGTCTGTATCAGCTTTATCTTTTGCCGCATAACTGACAGTGTCAGGTGCTGTTGATTTGGGCTGCCTGAATTTTTGCAAATGAACGGGGGTGCGGGCAGGGGGGACGAGGGGGCTTGACTCAAATTGCGGGGAAGGGGGACTTTGAACTTGCATACGATCACGAACAAATTTGCTGATCGGTACGGCCATGGGAGAGCTAGCTTTTGGACCTTCAGCGCCACCATCGACCTGCGGCCGTTTGTTTGTAGTGGGTTTGGATTTAGTGGCAGCAGTTGGGGCTTTGCTAACTTTACTTGCCTGGTTTCGACCACCCGCTGGCGCCGTCAGCACCACCGGTTGTTGAACTCCGCGATTATCTTTGTTTTGGGCATTCATTGTACGTGATCGCTGTGGCGGTGGTGTTATTATTGGGCTGGTTGGGGCAGTCGATCTCCATGTGGACATGGGGCCTTCATCCGCTTCTCCATCGGCCTCCATAGCCGTCTCGACTCTTTGGCTACTGTCTTGTTTGCCTGAGCCACCACTATCATCGGCTGTCGTGGGAGGGAGTCGTTTTCTGCGAGCTCTTGTAGCATCCGGGGGAACGCCAGCTGCTCTGAGTTCTCGATTCCTTTTGTTGCGTCCCCGATCCCAGCACATCGTTCGAATCACGTCCTTGACCAACAGGCGGTCCCAGCCCCAGTCCCTGGGGGCGGTTGCTGCAACCCATTTGATCATAGGCCACATCTTCGTCTCATAAGCATAAGAATTGAAAGAAGTGTCCAAGCGTATGCCCTTGCTCAGACACTCCTCCAACACCCATTGCCGTCGTAGCCTCAATTTCTTCCTATCAATTTGATCAGTCCCTTCAATCATCACGCCCATCCGAATGTTGAGGGATCGCCGAAAAGCCTTGGAGTTTGGTCGCAGTTCTTCACCTGTGTCCATACCCATATTCACGTCACCGATGTCGACTCCCTGTTCATCTGGGGTGTTTTCGCTGGGGTCTGGCGATTCTTCTCTCGTTTCGTCGGTGTCATGGTCGTGTACAATTGAGGCTGACTTTCGGGGTAGAGTTTTTGACGACGACGCGGTGGATGACTTAGCCGGTTGTAACGGTGTCTTGCCTTGTCTTGCAATCGTCGAAGGTTTCGAGCTGATGGCTGCCACGGATTTGTTGGAGCTCAGACCTTGAGATTGTCCACCTTCAGGCTCACTAAACCGGACCGGCATTTTCTGGCGCTTCCTTTTTTCCGCAAGAATTTGAGCTCGAACGCTGGGACTTATCTGATCTGAGTCTGCTTCGCTAATTTCGGAGCCGGCCGCGGGGGTACTGGCATATACTCCGATTGGTGAAAGTTTTCCTCTGCCTGTCATCGTTCGTTGGTGCAAAACAGGAGCTTTGGACTTTTCTTTGGCTGAGATGCATATGGGAACATGATTAGTAACTTTCATGACTATACTCGAATGGTGATGGATCAGCTTACCAGCCTGTTCTGTACTGCTTTCATCAGAACTTTTGCCCTCGACCGCGTGCTCGGGTAATTCCTGCTCTCCTTCGATGCTCTGTGTGATCATGAGCCTAGCTTCCTCGGCAGCCATTTTCTCCTCCAGATCGCGCATCATCTGCTTCATCATTTCCTCCTTCCTGGCCCGCAAGATCTCCTGTACATTGGGAGACATCGGTAGGATTGCGCGTACGGGACCGACCGAGTGTATAACTTGTTTGAAAGAGAGCGGGGGGATTAATGATACTAGGGAGAATGATGGATGCAAGTGGCCGTATACGTAGTGTTGGGGGGTGGGGCCGGGGGTTAAGTCAATCGCGACAATGTAAATTAGAGTGCAGTTAGGAGTTGAGGTTGTTGATAGCCAAGCGAAAGGAAAAAATTTTCTTGGACTATACCTAATTAATCAGTTAGTATGCCGCGATAGGCATATCTTGTCTTGATCTTATCTGATAAAGCTTAGTTTAGCCGTTTTGGTGCTATCCATCAGATAAGATGTATCAAAAGTCATGTGATGACAGGGGTTACGCTCAGCTCTAAGCTGTCGAACACATACAAGGTCACTCGTCTTTGCACTCCTCCCACTATGTCCCACCTATTTGCGCTTCGACCACACATAAGATAATCCGTCTTCAAAAACACCACCGCAATTTTGCTTCAACACCCCCTTCCAAAAAAACGAAATTTCTTTTCTTGGCGCAAGACCCCTCGTTTTTTTTTTCTTTTTTTCTTTTTTCTTATTCTCAACTCTACCTAAATCATCAAAAGATAAATTAAATGCCTGCTGGTTTCTACCGCGTTTGTAGTTGCTCGCTGCTCGACATCCGTCCACATCCGGTCACGAAGTTATCAGAATGGCACATGCACTTGCAGGCGAAGGAGCAGGACAGGTTGGATCAGTTATTTTCGCCGCGTGGGGACGATGACGAAATCGAAAACTCAAGCGGAGTCGATGATCAAGAGGTCGAGGGGAATGTTGATATGGGTTCACGGGCGAGAGATGCGACAAGAGAGACTACAGAGCTACAACGTCCAGATTTGCCTGCCAGGAGACCTCGATCTAAACCGTCCCAAAGGGTCCCAAGCCGAAGACATATTCGCGACCAACAGCTGGATGACGATGGTGCAAGCTCTGGAGATAACGAAGATCAGTTTGGGGTGCAGGGGGACAAGTTGGACGAGGATGATGGGCTACAGCCCCTTATACCCGCTAGAACACCCCGAACAGTTCGAACCCGAAGGCCAGCCATAAATGCCCGGCCGGCGATGTCAGAACCCAGAGCCATTTCACCTCACGATTCATCTTTACGATCTCCAAGGCATACTGGACGGGGCTACACGGTTGGCGTGGGTGGGGGCCTGGAGATTGATCATGAATTTGATGCCCCGGAGTTTCCTGCAAGAAGACGACGTCGCGCTGTAGCTAGATTAATAGATCATGTTGACACGGAGTTGAATGACCAAAAAAGCCACCATCGATCTGAAAGTGTTGCTTGGGAAGACATGATCTCTTCTGATGAACCAGCTGCAGATCAGCCCGATGATGATCTAGATGTGGACGAAGAACCGCCGGAATTGCCAGCTCGAAAGCCCCGAGTAACCTCGCGCCGGTATCAAAAGGAACACTTCGAGAATAGACATGAGGATATCCCAGCGGATGCAGCCGATAGTTCCGAGGATGAGAATATAGCCTCGAGCCCCCCTCCAATATTGCCATACGTGCAGCATCCAGGATCCGAAGTAGCTGATTCACCTGCAGCAAACAACGAAAACGACCAAACCAGCCCTGGCATGGCGGAAGAGTCAGATATTGAGATGGATAATCTACCTTACGATTCGGAATATATTGGAGGTATGCGACATGTACAGGGTAGTTCTGATATAGATATGCATATGGCTTCAGAAGACGCCCACAACATCATCAATCATGACGGTAGTGATCACGACCAATCGGCTTCAGACGGATATGAAGAGGTATTGGTCGAAAGTGGGGTTGATAGCGATGAGGAGAATAATGATGAATATGTTGTTGGTGTAGCTGTAGGCCTAATGAGGAGGGGATTTGTTGCGGAGCCACAGCTTGATCATGAGTATGACACATATTCCGATCTTTTATCCAGTTCAGATGAGGATATGCCAGGCCGCGATGGTGTTGCTAGCAGTACTGGTGAGGTACGGTTGGATAGAGCAAACCCTGGCGTAGATTCTAGATCTGTGGAATCCAGTACAGACGACGGAGAGGGCGGTTTTCCATATGGTGCGAGAAAAATGGCAATGTCAAAAACTGAGCTGCTATCGGTGGCAATACATGACATAAAACTTACCCATAAGCTGTCCAGGGCATCGGCAAGCGATATAACGTCATTGATCAACAATATATCCTTCACCGATTCAGTCGAGGATGTCGACCCCCGTGGCAGGTCGTGCTGGGATTACCGAACTACGAAGAAATGGATTCAAAACAAGACCGGCGTGGAATCGATAAGCATTGATTGCTGTAAGTCATCATGCATGTCTTATGCGCTGTATCCAGATAAGTGGCAATGCGATTACTGTCAACACCCTAGATGGAAGGATGGTAATATAGGTGCCAGGAAAGAGCCTTACGCTACATACGACTATATACCTATAGAGCACCGTCTCAGGCTTTGGTATGCAGATCCAGTACGTGCAAGTTGGTTGATAGCTTATCGGGACCAAGTCGAATCACAAGAAGGTGTTACCTCAGACTTTTGGACTGGTGATCTTTATCGAGACATGAAGGCTAAACGCCTATTCCAGCAGAAAACGGATCTGGGATTCGTATTAACTACCGATGGGGTTCAGATATTCCAGTCAAGGGCGAAATTCTCTATTTGGCCGATTGCTCTTTTGTGCCTCAATCTTCCACCCACCGTTCGAGCGAAACGACAAAACATGCTTTGCACAGGGTTCATACCAGGTCCCAAAACACCAAGGGATATTGACTCTTTCTTGTACCCACTGGTCAAAGAGCTTGAAGCACTTGAGCGGGGGATACGCGGGGTTTTGAATGCGTCGATACCATCATGGATGCCTGAAAGACACTTCACTCTTCATGGATATCTATGCCTGGTTGCCGCAGACATGATTGCACGTGAAAAACTCATGAAAGTAACGGGGAATCGCTCATATTGCTATTGCGAGTATTGTATGGTCAGGGGTGTATGGAACGGGTCCCTGTATTGCCCAATGACTCCACCGACAGACACCCCACAGAAGGCTAGAATACGCAAGGGCTCGGGTTACCCCTGGAAAACGTGGGACCGTACAAGCCTCCCAATGCGAATAGACGAGGAATTTCGTCTGGTTGCTCAACAAATCGCGAGAAGGGGTGCAACGGCGCAGCAAAAGGCTAAATATGGTATCAAAGGTCTGTCGATTCTAAGCCGCTTGACTGCAGTTGATTTTCCACGAAGCTTCCCACCAGATAGCATGCATTTGTGGTTCGAGAACATCATTCCAGATCTCGTCAAGCACTGGAGAGGAAAATTTGTATGTGATGTTGGTGAAAGTGAGCCGGCTGAACCCCGGCGGCGAGGTGCGGGAAATCAAGCACAGAGAGACAGGGGGGAGTTCAGTGACGAACCGGAGGAGGAATCTGCAGATCCGGAAGAGGATTCAGAAGAGGAATTGAGGCAGGATTCGGATGTTGAGGAAGAGGAAGATGTTGACATGATCGATCGCGGTCGCGAGGAGGGGAGCCCAGGCGGATCTGATGCTGACAGCGAGCTGAGTGAAAACGAACTCGACAGCGTAAAAGAAGGGGGTTCTCCAGCCACTGCAAGGAGTGGGAGACAAACGGTAATATATATATACAACAATCTTACATGAATTATATTCAAGAATCAATCATTTACTAATCATGATGTGTATTTATATACAGGTTCGAGCTCGGCGAAATAGAGTGACACCAGCAGGTCATGGCCCTGGTATAACAAGACGGGCGAGGGCACCGATAGAACAGACTATATCTAGAAGGTCTAGACCAAATCCAGCACAGGCAAGATCGAGAGGCCGGGATTCAACAGCAAAGGTTATCCCAAACGACGACCCATACAACATACCAGTCAAGATATGGGAGCGGATAAGCACCGATATTGCATCGAGTTCATCTACGTTTCCACAGCTGTTTGGTCCGCTGCTCAGAAACTTTCTAGAATACATCAATATGATGACTGCGGCGGAGTGGAAGCTGTTTGCGTTCATCATAGGTCCGGTATACATGAAGGGGGTCCTTCCAGAAGAGGATTACGTTGAATTCGTCAACCTAATAGAGGCTGTTCAACTAACATGTGATCACTCCATCCTCGACGACGACCTGACCCAATTGGAGGTCAGCATCCAGAGGTTCAGCGACTATTACGAAAGACGATACTATCGTATGAAGTGGACACGGCTCAAGGCCTGCCTACCTGTTTTTCACCAAATAATCCATGTCCCCCAAGCCATTCGATGGGCAGGCCCCATGTATTCATACTCGCAATGGGCGATGGAGCGTTTCTGCGGGACATTGTCTAAAACGGCAAAGTCTAGGGTTTCGACGAATAAAAATATCTCCAACACGATCACCATGTTGGAACAAAAGAACTGTCTCGTATACGTTATAGACCAAGAAGGAATAACGGTGGAGAGTAGCGATGAAGACTCAGATGGTAATATCCTACTGGCGAAGTTCTTGTCGAAACGGATAAAAAATTCCAGGCCGCCGGAAGCCAAAATGATATCGGATATGCGTGAGAGAGATACGATAACATTCTGTGGTCCATCAAAGGTAAAGCCCTTGACGCCATATGAAAGGATATGTCTTCGTAACTTCCTGGGAAACGAAGATTTTGATGTGGATCTTGCAATCGATGATGCTGAGGATTCTCAGTTAGATGCCACAGCAGACGGTTATGAGATTCCGTTACATTGTCGTGTATTCCGAGCTGTAGATTTTAAAACTACAGTACAACGTGGTGACCCATACCCATTTAAAGCGACTTCTTCAACAAGACAGAGATCAAACCTTACTCGGTCAACATCATTCGTAAGCTTTAAACTGGCACGAGCTCTACCGGATCGAAATGGGAACCTCCGGGGTGGGGAAAGAGAAACTTTGACTGAATACGGCGAGGTCCTATTCTTTTTTACTGTGGATATTCCAAATCCAGAGGAGAATGCCTTCATCCGGCGCCATCTGCAAGTAACGAGAAGACTCACTCTACGGAATACAGCAGCCACGGGTGCGGAGCCAGTTGACGAGCAGATTCAGTTAAAAGAAAAAGGGGCCATCAGGAAGAAAAAGGATTGCGAACTTCTTCTCGCATGTGTGAGGCATTTCCCGGTACATAAGGATGGTAGGCTGCGATACCGCGGAGGGAAAGGGATAATAAGAATAATTCGAGCAGCTGATATCCGCGAGCTAATAGGGATACTAAACTGCAAAGGTAGAGAGTATATAGTTAGAAGATATACGGCGCTCTTCGAATAGGTCATGATCAATTACAATTGAACCAATTGGTGTTATAATTAATAGAATCGTGGATTAAGCAGCCTAACTGTTTGAGTTAAGCAGTTTACTGTTTAATTTGTTGGCGGTAACTGTTTAAATGAACCGACTACACATGGAATTAAGCAGTTTTACTGTTTAATTGACGTAACATTAGCTAAACTGTTTATAGCCAATGCGCGAGATTAAACAGTTCAACTGTTTAACAAGACTAGTTAAACAGTCCAACCGATGGTTTAAGCAGTTTTACTGTTTACCAATGAGTAAACAGTAAAACTGTTTAACAAATTGAACAGTAAAACTGTTTACTGATAGGTAAACAGTAAAACTGCTTAACGAATTAAACAACAAAACTGTTTAGTCATAGGTAAACAACAAAACTGCTTAACAAATTAAACAGTAAAACTGTTTAAACCATGACTAAACAGTTTTGTTGTTTAATCAAAGGTCACGTCTAGATGCGGCGGAAATCTATAAACAGTTAAACTGTTTATACTAGGTATTAAACGATCTGGCTGTTGAAAGCGACATGGGCTTAAACAGTTCAACTGTTTAAACCCGGCACTTAACCAATTTCTGGGCAGAATGCCAAATTCTAAACAGTTTTATTGTTTAAAGTTTGGATTTAAACAGTTTTTAAGCGACTTAAGCAGTAAGACTGCTTAAGTTAAACAGTTGCCACCGGACTTATGTACCATAGTGACCGCGATGGCAATAGTTAAGAAACAACTTCTTCAACTGTAAGACTGCTCTTATCATAATTTTTAGGCGGCTGCATCTTCAATCGTTCTCAGCAGCTGAGAAGATCCTTACTATTGGGTATAAGCCCTCTGTTGAGTGCTAATTGGGCGGCTCGAATTATTGTTTAAAACCATATTAGGAAGTTGAATAGTTCCCGGGTTCCCGATTAGGTAGCAACTGCACTCATAACTTCCGAATTGATGTAGTAATCCCGGATTATGGAACTATCCTATGTTGGGGCTAAACTCGTTAGAGTAGGTCACTGTTTTGATTTGAATATATGGATGCAGTTTGCCAGTTAGAAAAATCATTCCAAAAACCTTGACCTGGCTCGGGGCCCGGGAGCTAGGAGGTAGAGCGGGCTGTTTGCAGTTGGAAATATTAAGTGTCGATGAGGATCTGTGATATCAGAATCCTACGGATGGTAAATCAAAGCTTAAATGTTGTTTGAAATCGATATTCATACTGGAGTATAAATCCACAATTCCATGGCAATAAGATATACGCCATACCATCCTCAGTAGTTCAGCAAGGTTCTTATCTGTAATTTGGAATTCCCCGCAGATCGCCCTCAAAAAAAGCAGGTACAGAACTTAATATTTACTTAATAGTGTTTGTATCTTGCAAGGGTATCGCAAGGTACCGAACGTTAGGTGCGCCCCAGCTGGAACACCTGTGCGATATAGCTAGATAACGGTATCCACCGTGTAGTCCAGGTCTGTATTATCATGTATAGGGTAGGACTTCTCACCTTGAACCACCCGGGCTTAAAGTAATAAAATCTTACTTTCCTCTCTTATGCTATGAAATTAAAGTATTTTAGTGTTACGGGTTCTAAACGTATGCTTCGGGCAGCTCAATCGTCTTATCGCAACAATTCCCCCCGCGTATATATCAGATAATCTCATATTATGAGATGGGGCCGCCCCGAGAGGACTCCACCTACTCAATCCGTGAACACTTCCCCATCAGGATAGCATCAATTAGGATGAAAACATTCAGGAGGAATTGAAGAGCGGATACACACTTTCCATATTGAAACAAGTATGTTCGTGTGATCAGATACTTGTATTACTATGTTTCTAGGCAATCCTAAGAGTATGTGGGTTAGAAACTCACTCTACATGGCGTTGAAGATAGTTAATGTTAATTCGGGCGGTAAAGGAATCAAATAAAGAGTATATATATCCTTATGAATCCCCAAGAAGACACTCCCACCCATAAGCATCGGCTTGAATTCAAGATAAAGGGCCTGATTTTCGCAAGCAGGACAAGTCTGTTCCCCAGGTTTCTCTTATCCATTCGAGTTCCTTAGAGATCCATCACCGGAGATGCGTTTTCCATTTGCTCCTCTTTTAGCATTAACAGCTGCTACAGCTGTTGCAGCTCACCGAAGACTCCTTACTATCCCTGGGTAGATAGACGGATCGTATATCGACTCAATCTCACTTGATAGCTCTGCCCTCAGACCTCGCGCTGATAGTGACCCCAAGGTTATCGCGGCCGAACATCTCAAGACTATAGTCCCCAATGTTGAGTTCCGTGAGAATGGCGATGATTATACGGATGTCGATACTGGGATCACACATGTGTATTTTACCCAGACACTCAACGGACTCGATATTGAGAATGCGCAGGCAAACATTAATATTAAGCGTGATGGGTCGATTCTCTCCATGGGGTTGAGCTTTGTGACCGAGGGATTGGATGTACCCGCGCCTGTTAGGAGACAAACGTTACTATCACCGCTGGAGGCTTTGAAGGGAATTGTCGAGAAGATGGATCTGCCATTAAATGTCGTCGCTGCAGAGGCAGTTCCAGAGTCTTCATTGGTAGGAGGTGGACAATCATTTACTATTATGGGGTCTGAGGGTGCAGTTTCGGTATAAAACCTTCCGTATTGAGTACTACGATTCGATTGAGGACAGCCGCTGACAGTAGTTTTGTGTAGGAACCAAGGGCAGATCTCACGTACTATCAGACCTCCGAAGGCATTAAGCTTGTCTGGAGGTTTGAGACTGACTTCAATGAGAACTGGCTCATCACCTATGCCAATGCTCAAGAAAGGGCTCTATTATCGCGGTTGCAGATTATGTCGCCGATGCTTCCTATAATGTTTAGTATGTATTTATCCAATACAGCATATAAATTAGCACTAACGTTTATAGTCCAATTGGTGTAAATGATCCCACCGATGGCGCCCGAACCGCTGTGACCAATCCCGCCAGTAATTTTGCCTCTCCCAATGGCTGGCACACCGCCGGAAGCACATCCTACATCACAACTCGGGGTAACAACGGTATTGCTCAGGAGAACTGGGATGCTGGTTCTGATTACTTAAACAATCAACGTCCGAGCTCCTCTGGAAGCAGTCTAAATTTTAACTTCGAATACAGCCCATCAGATGATTCACCAAAAGACTATATCGATGCTGCTGTTACGCAGTTGTTCTATACGGCCAACGCATACCACGATCTCTTGGAAGTCCTTGGGTTCACAGAAGTGGCTGGAAACTTTGAGGACGTAAATACTGGTGCCGGTGGCCGTGGTAACGATGCTGTGCAACTTAACGCACAAGACGGTTCCGGTTTTAATAATGCCAACATGGCCACACCTGCTGATGGATCAAGGCCAAGGATGAGGATGTATTTATGGAATGTAGTTCCCGGCGTTCAGCGCGACGGGGATTTTGATAATGGTGTTATTATTCACGAGTACACCCACGGGCTCAGTAATAGGTTGACTGGTGGCCCTTCAAGGTCTACTTGCTTGAGTACTACTGAATCCGGTGGTTTGGGAGAGGGATGGGGTGATTTCTATGCCACTGCAATTAGGGTCAAGCCGAACGATACTCGTACAAAAGATTATGCCATGGGTGATTGGGTTAACGGGGCTGGTATGGATATAAATGATCTCCGGTCTAAGAATAAACTTATTGACAAAACGACATAGGAATCCGAAGGTACCCATACTCCACCAGCATGACCACCAATCCCACAACTTATGCTACCATTAATCTTTCAAATTGGAACGCTCTGGTTCATGCAATCGGTTCTGTTTGGGCCAATATCCTTTACGAGGCCATGTGGAATCTCGAGGACAAATGGGGTTACCAGAAAGAAGTGATGCCAACCTTCCGTGCTGGCACTAGTATTCCGACTACTGGCCGCCATCTGATGATGAAACTGGTTCTCGAGGGAATGAAGCTACAGCCTTGCTCGCCAACATTCTTGACGGCAAGGGATGCAATTCTGGACGCAGACCGAGCTCTTACCGGGGGTGAGAACTTGTGTGAATTGTGGAGCGCGTTTTCGTAAGTTTCTCTCTAAAAACTCCCAGAAAATGAATGCTAATTTTCAATAGTAAGCGTGGACTTGGGGCATCTGCTAAGCAAGGGACTGGGTCGAATGCTAGAGTAGAAAGCTTTGATATGCCAACTGATATTTCGTGTTGAACAGTTTATATCCCTTCAAATACATGTATATATGAGGATGAGCAGCTAGAAGCAATTATGTGGCTTTAGTACTCTGATGCATGAACGTGCACGAGGTAGTTTGGGTCTCTAGCTATTAATTTTTACACTAAATTGCGTATACTTTTATGACGGTGAAGTTCACGCCCGCCGTGCGCTTGGATTTTGAAGTCTCTCTGGAATTGAAATGTAGTAATTGTTGAAATCGCTACTCCACATGTATTGAAAATAGCTATAGAGCCGGTGATTAATTAGCACTACTACTGGACGTGGAATGTTTGGTAAGATGGTACATATAGGTATCCGATTAATAGGGCTAACTACATATATGAAGTATGTACTTAGTATGTATATATGATGTATTGACCGATCTAACATTAATCACCAGCGCATGAATATCATAACCTGCGACTATGAACGTCTGGCTCGGGGCTAGGGTTAGGTGTACGGTAAATAGCAAGGGGTACTGCCGACCTGGTAACGGTCTGCATTCGACGTCATCAAATAATAGAATAAGCTCTAGAAACTAGAGTCGGTAAACACTTTTTGCTGTTAACTCGTCGAGGGTATACGACTGTTAAACAATTTAATCTCAACAATTTTCCGAGGGTTAAATACATGTACCTGAGGAAGTAGAGTAGGTGCTTGACCTGTAGTAGTAGAACTCAGCCGGAGATTGAAGTTACATCTTAGATAAGGCCTAGCCCGAGTCGTGACAGGTAACCCTTGCAGGGGTGTTGATTGCACCTGATGATCTTCAAAGGGCCGCGAATAACCGAGATCCAACAAGCCTTAAGAGACGTCACCATCCCTTCTAGTTCTATCCCCAACACCAAATCAGAGACCTTTTGGTATAGAAATATCGCGAGGAAATTGCTGTTCAACGAAATTCTTCTCTGTTGAAGAATAAACAGCTCCTCTAATTTAGTATATCACCTCCTAGCCTTCATCCTGGAGCCCTTTAATTTAATATATAAGTCACTTTCCCATTATACCTCATCTCATCACGAAGAGCTGCCATCCACTATGCCTTTAACATCATTCAATACTCCAGATCCGTACAAATACCAGAATGGCTTTAACTCTTATCATGAGTGAGATATTACCTATCCCTGACAATTCTTTTTATCCTTCACTATTGCTAAGATCCCCGCTGCGCTTAGAACGGAAGCCATACCGGGTGCCCTTCCAGTGGGCATGAACTCTCCACAGAAGCCACCATTTGGACTTTATGCGGAAAAACTTTCCGGTACAGCCTTCACAGCTCCGCGAGCAACAAACAAGCAGTCCTGGCTTTACCGAATCATGCCATCCGCCTCACACTCTTCGTTTTCCCCAGTCCCCGATTCTGTCCCAGGGGTTCAATCTACTCTCCGCCCATCAGCATTTCACCAGATCCCGAATCAGCTGAGATGGGATCCGTTTGAGATTTACGAGGATAGGGATTTTGTTCAAGGGCTAAACATGATTGCTGGGGCTGGTGATGTGAGTACGAAGAACGGAATCGGTATCTACGCATTTGCTGCTGGGAAGAATATGGATTATCATTCCGCTTTTTACAGTGCCGATGGGGACTGGCTTGTTGTATTACAGCATGGAGAAATGGATGTTGAGACGGAGCTTGGAAGGTGCTGCTCTCCACATGTCTTTTTTTAGTGGAGAAGTTGACTCACAAAAATAGACTATATGTCCGACCAAACGAAATCCTCATCATCCCACGTGGGATTCGTTTTCGAATCACTCTTCCTAATGGCCCGGTTCGTGGTTATATACTGGAAACATTCACAACAGGGCACTTTGAGCTTCCTGAGCTTGGTCCCATTGGTTCGAACTGTTTGGCAAACGCTCGTGACTTTCAGGCACCTGTAGCATCTTTTACGGATGATGTCGGAAGTGCGTCGAAACCTTACCGCATCACAGCTAAATTTGATGGAAATCTTTTCGTTGCTACCCAGCGACATAACCCCTTCGATGTAGTTGCCTGGCATGGGAATTATTATCCGATGAAGTACGATCTCGGACGTTTTAACACCATTGGCAGCATTTCATTCGACCACCCAGACCCAAGTATCTTTACAGTGCTGACTGTGCATTCTGCTGTAAATGGTACTGCTGTCGCTGATTTCGTTATCTTTCCACCGCGCTGGCTGGTCGGTGAAGATACGTTTCGACCCCCATGGTATCACCGTAACACAATGTCGGAGTTCATGGGCCTTATCTCAGGAGACTATGACGCTAAGGCAAGCGGTGGCTTCCTCCCAGCCGGTGCGAGTCTGCATAACGTAATGTCTGCTCATGGGCCAGATTATGGGACGCACGAGAAGGCGAGTAATGCTATACTCAAACCGCAAAAGGTTGGGGAAGGGAGTATGGCATTTATGTTCGAAAGTATGAATCCTTGTCTACCTTTTTCTATATTTTTACTAGCTGACGGAATCTCAGGCATGTTTATGGTCGGAGTGACGGAATGGGGTTTGAAAACCTGCAGAAAAGTCCAGGAAGACTATAATGCGGAAAGCTGGGGGGGTCTGAAAAGAAATTTCTACCCCCCAGCCGGGAAATGGGGTTCTCACAGGCCGAAGTCGAAAGGAAGTGATAAATAGAATTTCAATCACTGGAAGGTATGATAGGAGTAGTGCTTAACAAGCATTTGGCTTCCTTGCGTCTCGTGCTTCTTGTATGCGTCCTGTTTAATCCCGCCTTCTAATACTGTATGATATTTATGAGAACCCTGGGAAGTATCCTAAATACTGACCGACAACGAATGACTGGGTATGAACAATTATAAGCTTGGACCCTAGAAAATTTTCTATATAGCAGAATGTCTATTTCATGATATTTAACCCCAGAAGACGTCCTGGTTAAAGCCTTGAGTGCTTATTCGTGAAACCCCATAGATACTTACATGTAGTATATTTGCTCTAACCTCGAGGTACAAACCTGGCTACTTCCAGAATTGGTAGTTTTGCCAAGATGGGACTTATGATAGCAAGTATATATATATGCATACATGTAGTGTATGTGCATACATGTATGTATGGTGCGAGAGGGAGTACTCGCTATCGAGTAGACGATGACACCGCCAACCCTGTACACACCACTTCAGTCAATTCCTTCATTGGCTCCGGGGAGCAAACATTGAGGGGCCTGGCTGTAAGGTGTGAACAGGGATGACAAGGTCGCCCCCAAGGCCTCTCGCACCATAGCTACATGTAGTTCACTAGGAAAGAACCCGGGAAAACTACCATACAAACATTGTTGCAGAGACTGGGAACTCATCCTATGTCTTTGCGATGAGGTAAGGGGTGGCTCTGTGAATTACTTGAATGCATGTAATGTATGGTGCGCCTACGCTTAAAGCTGTCGGATCGGATCGCGACGAAATGTCAATGGCTGATAACTTTGCAACGAAAAATGGTAAAAGAAAAGCGGTAAAATAGAACTCTAGTTCAAGTGATGAATTTTAGTTCTATTTTAGCAGAATTTTGATATTTGTCTAGGTTGGAAAGTTATCAGAGGTTGAAATTGTGTATTTTTGTATGTAAAATGCGCCAAGACTGAACAAAGTGGAACCGTATTATACCCATTTATACCCCCCAAAAAGCAAACCTGACTGATCCGTGGCAGTGAGCCATCCGCTTGGCAGCATCCTAGTAAATGTTGTGAACCAGGATGCTGCCAAGACTCAGCCATTAGTACACTACTAGCTGTTAAGTCTGCTATTTTCTTATCGTACATGGCCATGGCTTATCTTCAACCAAGTTATCGCTTGTATCTGAGATGAGATGAGCTTTGGTAACAAGATTAAACTCGTTGAAAATTGTTCCAGTTGTGTCACTATTTACCGACTGGACTTACTGACGATTGAAGTTTGATAGTAGTATACCTATAGCACCTTAATTGTCGTCATCATGACAACCTCATCATCGGATATGGTAGCCGCTGGAGTTGCCCTGTGCATGGCCCGAGGAGAAAATACGACGGGAGTTGTTTTTAAAGAGCGGTAGGGCCATCAAGGTCTGCTGCGACCAACCCCGGATTACTAGTTACAATGGCTACTCTAAGGGTTTCGACACGAACTGATGAGACGACTGTCCCATTCTTTCCCGAGGAAAGGGAAGGCTGGCATGGATATATTGAGTGGGAAGACTATCCAGAGAAGCGGGAGCAAGCTGCAAAAGTCTTGCAAACGCATAATTTTGCTCCAGTAGGTCCAATCATCCCTTCGATTATATATCGATATTAACCCTATTGTCTTTCGAAATAGCCACCTGAGTTTCAACTGGTTCCATTGCCAAAAACAAATCCGATTTTGGAGGGTGTTCGTTGGAAACAATATCATGCAGCTCTTGGTTCAACTATGGAGAAGATGCCGGAGGAAAGCTGGAATATTGTCAAGCAGGAGAAGGCAGAGGATATGACGCATGTTCTGCAGTTTCCCTATAATGGGGAGCCCCCAAGAGTAAGTCAATACTGTCAACTCTGACAAGATTCCCATGTGCTAAAGAAGGGTCAATAATTCGTGCCTTAAAGGATCGTTTGATCGAATCAGCAGTTACACCCAACGAACTCCATTTCGTACGAAACCATGGCGGAGTCCCAGAGATTGATGAGGCGGCCTACTTTTTTGACGTCGGGGGACTTGTTAACGAGCCTAAACGGATAACTCTCGCTGAGCTTAAAAACGAAGAGCTGTTTCCGAGACAGAGTAATATCGTCACCATACAGTGTTCGGGGACTAGAAGATTGGAGCAGATTGCATTATACCCAGGAGAAGGTGACGAGCTTATAAATGCTCCTGTAAGAAGCCCTACAGGAATACATAAACATATAGTTAGCGACTGTGATAGTAAACTGATAGTGCGGGTGCTATAGTGGGCAGAGGGCGCGATTGGAACAGCAAAATGGACCGGCGTAAGCTTGAAGAAGGTAATCAAATACTGTGGCGGGCTAAAGCCAGAAGCAAAACATCTAGAGTTTATTGGTGCAGACACGTATTTCAAAAAAGGCCACGTCTCCAACTATGGCGTTTCGGTCCCGTGGAGAAAAGTCAAAATGAACGAGGTTCTCCTAGCATGGGAGATGAACGATAAACCGTTACCTAAGATTCATGGGTTCCCCTTAAGAACCGTCGCCTTTGGTTATATGTATGCTTATCCCTCTGTTCTCTATTATCGCGATTATTTTGTTTTCTTTGACTCTAATATCAGTGGAAATAGTGGAGCAAGATCCTGCAAATGGCTCACCAAAATCAACGCTCTCTCGGAACCCAGCAAGAACGTTGTCCAGCGCAAAGAATATCTCTACTACAATCAACAAATTGGCAAACATAATACGACTTATAGCTCTGGCTTTTCAATCCAAGACATGCCCGTATCTAGCGCCATGATGACCCCAACTGATAAAGATGTCATTGTGCACGATGGGAAGATTACAGTCAAAGGTTGGGCTTACAGCGGTGGAGGGCGGTGGCCCCAGAGAGTGGAAGTCTCAGGCGACGGAGGTTCTGTATGGTATGAAGTACCATGGGAGAATTTGAGTAAAAAGTATTATCACGCGTGGAGACTCTGGTCTATCGATTTGCCGGTAGATGCAGAAGGTTGGCTGGAGTTTGTGTGCAGATGCTGGGATAATTCACTGAACACTCAACCAACATATGTCCGCTCAGCATGGTAATGACATCCCCGCATTCATCTCTCCTGAAAATATTATTGACGTAAGATCTGTATAGGAATTGGGATCTCCATGTGACATCGAGTTGTCATCGTCTTTTTATTTATAGCGTTAACAAAACGAAAGAGCCAACGGCAATGCGGCTTGCACAGCTGGAGAAGAAAGGGATACCATTGACACCAATCACTTTGCCGTTAGAATTTGATATCGAAGATGATGACCACTATTTAGAGGTTTTAGAAAAGCAAGGGCCAAGAGATCCCGAGGAATAATGGTTCTAGTTAGGTCCTCGCAAGTATCGGGGGTCTATGAATCGTTTGAGACGCATTCAAATGGGCTCGCGGAATGTCCCTGAAGGTGATCGTATCAGATGTGTTTTGTTTGAAAAACTATTCAATCATATAAAATATGGAACAGAATTTTAAGATGTGATTCAATTCAACAAATGCCTAGAAGTGGGCATGGACGTTAGATATCATCATTTATTGAAAACAAAGACTATTTTGCTTAAATCTGTAGGTTGCTCACAACACGTGAAAGGGGTATATATCGATTGACACTAGTAGTACTAGAATTCACCTCTGTTACACAGATCATGGTTCATGAAACATCAGAGCGGATTTGAATCTTCTTCAGGGCTTCAGCAAGTAATGACCGAGCTATACATCCTCTAGACCCTGTAACTTGTCTATCGCTTGTTACTTTAATTTTCCCCGCTGTTACAACGTAAACCTTGATCAATTGAGCACTTGCAATTGCATGGCCAAGGTATGGGTAGCACATGATATTGAGTAGTGGGCAAGTCTGCTGCAAGAAAGCAATTATTAGATACTTTTGTCTTACGAAGGGTAGTTCCGTGTGTTCTGGCCGAATAAGTTTATTCCACATGGCACAGAGAATCATGAAATACACGTACTCATATATAATATATATAATAATAAGTATCACTAAACAAACAGTTCCGAAAGGTCCGGAGGCTGAGTGGTGAGCTCTTGGCACGAAGCGTCAAAACTGGTCTAGCTTCTTACAACCATACAGGGATTTCATTGGATGGCAACTCAGTAGGCAGTACATGTAGTACTCCAGATCCAACTACCTTAATAGATTGGGTTTCCCCGGCCATTGGTAACATCAATCTAACGCTTTGAGAAGTCCGCCCCGCACTTTTTAAACTAAAGGATCTTTCACACCCTGGGGAGACGAATCTGGCGCTGGACGGGCTTATGATAACAGGAACGAGACTAGTGGGTGAGGGTGAATGCGCACGATGGAGGTATATATGAGGTTCTTCATGCAGAGGGTGTAACAGCAAGATTCATTACTTATCACTGGCACAGGTTGACCGGTAGATGCGTATTGTATACAATAGATGCAGAAATAAGTTTCTCCAGCGATATCATTGCCGGTGAGGAATATTCGAACCCGCTAATTCCTCCAGGACGTACGGACAAGTGAATTATCACACCGTGAAAGAAAAAGAGGCCTTGAGTTTATGCGATGAGTCTGAGGTATGGATGGGTTTGCGGCTCGAGCTCTCTTCCAGGAACAAAGTACGTACTGTACATATCAACAATCCAAGTTAACGATTATTCTACCCAATGGTTATACACCTCCCTTATACGTCCTTCCGCTCTAGCTACACCTTGATGTTTTTATGTATCATGTTTATTACTCTTATACGTTGATTAAACTTCCAGGGACTACATGTAATCCTGATAGATAACTAATCATCACCTACCGGATATCGATTAGAGATCACCCAACACGAAAAAACCACCACACCCTACAAGCCCCATGGGTAGACTAGCTTAGAACCCCTCGAAACATAAATCCATAATTCCTCATGGTCAAAGCTTTGTTTGATATAGTACATAAAAGACGACCTTACCGGCCCTCCGGTTCTTATTTATTAACCCATTCATTCATTCCTCCCGCTAGTCGATAACTTCATTCAACCCAGGGCAGGTCCATTCGTTTTTGTTATTTACTCACTCATTTACATTCACTTTTGCTTCTCCATTCTTTATTTTTCATTTTTTGATATCAGTCAAAATGGTTCTCGTCAAGAATCTTTCAACGTTCCTCCCTTTAGTCCTCTCACAGGCGTTGATGTCCAATGCCCATCTCTCGGTCTGGATGCCCTCCATGTACGGTCTCGATCCGACCAACATCAATAGTGATAATGCTAGTCAACCTCTTCAAGGTTACACTTTCGAACAATGGTATAAACCCCGCCATGTTTATAACCTGCAAGCTAGAGCGACGCTAATGATACCAAGGTGGTGGCATGGAAACCTCGATAACCCACCTGCGGACAACGAGAGTTTTGCCCTCCCTGCAAACGGATCCGTAGATGTTGAGATATCCTCCAACAAGGCATTCACAACCCTTGGGCGCGGCTTCAAAGATGCAAACCCTCGAATGGCACCTGACCCATGGCTCAACCAGAACGGCTGGGGAAGTAAGTACACCCCTCTTCTCTGCTTCTTCCACCGTCCCAGGAAGCACAAACACTAACAGGCTAAAACTCCAGACATGCATGCCCCCAGCCGCGCCGACGTTGCCGGCAGCGCCCTCGCAATCGCCTACAAAAGCGACGCAGAATCCGTCCTCCCCAGCGACTTCGTCGTCTTCTCCGTCGTCCACGACAGCCCCGCCCGCCAGCTCGAGACTTTCCATGTTCCTGACCTCCCTGTATGTCCCAATGACCGCTGCATGTGCTCCTGGTTCTGGATCCACAAATCTATCGGCGGGACCGACCAGATGTATATGGTCCCCTTCGTCTGTCATGTCACCAATGCCACCAATACTACTCCTCTGGGTAAACCCGTGGCTCCTGTCAACTGCGAAGGCGACAAGAGCAAGTGTGTGCAGGGCGCAAAGTCACCAATGTACTGGATGAACTTAGAGGGTAACAACATGTTTGAGCCGGGACACTATGCGCCTACTTACAACACAGGATATGGATATTTTGAGGGTGCGCAGACTGATATCTGGATTGACGGACACAACGCTACTTCCACCACTGGCACCAGTGCAAATGTTGCGGCGGCGACTAAAGCTGTTTCGAAGGGTGTTAGGCACGGGGGTGTACACCGTCGTCGTGGGTGGTTCGGGGGGAACTAATTGTTCTCCTGGATGAGCTCTTTTTATTCGTATCTTTTTTTTTTTAACTATATTTATTATCAATAGAAATGAAGGGTGTCGATATGATCTACTTTACCGTCCGCCATTGATTCCCATTATACTTGACACCAGTAGTATGCATCATTGACCCCGAATTCCTTAAAGTAGTAACAACATATGTCCAGCCAATTATACAACGCCCGACGAACCATACAACAAATATACCACCTATGCCAGCACCGAAGCTAGGTCCAGCTAGTCGAATATTTTTTACTCATAGTGAGAAAAGCCATAATATTCAAAAACATTATTTACATTATTTTACAAGTCCTAAATCCTAAAATCTCCTTCTACGAATCAGTCTCCACAATTAACCTTGGCCTCATGGCCTGAAACTCCAACTGCTTCATTAACTTGCAGAGATCCATTAATTGCCCTTTCACCGGCTTCAAATCCACATATACCTTAGGCTTTACTTCCATACGTTCTCGGTGAAAATAGTTTGATCTCACATCGTCCAGGAGCTCATCCAATGCGCTAATTAATCTCTCCTCCAACTCCTTAACAAGCTTCTGAAGCTCTTTGAAAACGCTGTTGCAGACTTCCTCGTAGTGAGAGAAAACTAGTTCAGGTAGTGTCTCTGATGAATATTCTTTACGCCGAACAAGCATTCTGGCTCCATTGATTTCACGCATAGAGATATAAAAGGAGCAAAGCTTTGGATGGAGAATATCTTGGTTTCCGGTGACGATGTTGTTTGTGTTTCTAGTTATATTGACCATATTAGGATCATGGAGCTAGAAAGCGGCAAATTTGAGCCCACCTTAAGTTTGACTGCCACAGGTTCTTTTGGGTGTGGATTATGTTATAGATACGAACTGCTATGGGTGGCAATTCATTGGCGACCTTGTCAGGGTCGGTGGTTTGGTTGACTGCCTCTGTGGCATCAGATATAAAGTCAGCGGTGCACATGACAGGAACTTCCTTTTATAATCTTTCCAATCATGATACTCACCAGATATCATCTTTAACACCGTATCGGAAACGCTCACAAACATAGATGACATTGCTGCATCTGCCTGGTTGAAAGTCGATTCCCAGTGTTCATTGACACTATGTACTAATAGATCCGCAATTGATTTACTCCAATCGATATTTTTCCTAGAGCTCTTATCTATAAAGGAACCATTCTGGCGGCAGGCCTTGTCCAATGAGGACCAGTGATCGCAGGCCTGTCGAATCGGATCATTAAAATTGCTTCAAAATATGGAAGTTAGGATATCTCACACTTATCCATCTATTGACAATTCCCTGGGCTTCATTTGCATTGGTCCTCAGGACATTCTCATTTTCTGTAGTTTATTAGTGGGAGTATTCAGTGTGGATATGTGCCAGGCTGCCGTACTAATGTCCTGCTCAAAAGATCCAACTAGGGCTCTCAATGGATTTGAGACTCCCGTAATTATAGAATCATGAATGCTCTAGGTTTTCCTCATATTAACTGCCGTACGTTTATTTGTCGCTTCTCAAATAAAAACATACCTTTTGCATGCCCTCAAAACACATTTGCAACTCCTCTGGTGCCATTACTTCCTCCTCTGGTGTCGACGAAATTGTCTCCTCCTCATTGCACCAATTCTGCACCGAGTTCATAAAGGTTGTCATATTCCCCTGGACCAGACTCTTTACCACCGCCTCTCTCCTCTGTAATCCTTTTTCTTGTATAAACCTTCTCAGAGCTGGTATACCAGATTCTTCGGGTGAGATACATGAAGACATTTTGGGTTGGAGAAGGCGGCGATGGTGCCACTGGTACTCGAGACTGGAGGTGAATATCACTGTGGAGGTATTGAGACGAGATTTAGGAGATTTGTGAATCATGTCACGGGTAGCTGCAACGCGGAAAAGAATTTCACGTTTTCTAGGCGGAATTAGTTGAGTTTTTCTTCTTTTCCTGTATCAGAGCACGGGAGCAGTACTTATCCCATTTTGGATCACTGGCAACACGGGGTATATTCTACAATTACTGTTAGAATATAATTTTATAATGTGAGGAATAAACTGACATCGATTTGAGTGAGAATAAATGCAAACTTCGACGGTGGTTCCAACTGCGCTCTGGGAGCAATAGGTTCAAAGATGGGGTCCATCAATAAATCATCCATTCCGACCCGTGAAATATCCGACACGATCAGAATACTTTCGCATGATTTGAGATATTCATTGACTGTAGCTAGCTTCATCGGGTTGATTTTACCAAGACCTACATTTAATTAGCACACAGTTACTTCGCTGGGGATATATACGTTAAAACCCGGTTTCCGTACCAGGTAAATCAACAAGCACAACACCAGTATTCAAAACCGGTGAATCCATATAAATTCTATCGAAGTTTTATAAGTATTCCGGACAAATAATCCGATATCAGGAAAACTTACGTTATTTTCTTCAACACGGCCCAACACTCAGAATTAAGTCTCTGTATATGTTTGTTTACCTCCGAGATATCCTGCGTGACGAATTTCTCCGCCAAATCTCTAAAGAATGCCGGTATAGCTTGAATATCTTCCAAAACCACTTTTGACTCTTCTGATAGGTTGAATAGCGATTTGAGAATTCCCCTGGCAGTGATGCATCTCATATCTGCCGGGTCCTCCTGAATGTCTCCAAGAAGCCGTGTCGCAAAAGGCAACCATTCAGCCTGCGTCAGAAGGTTGCTGGTTACTGTATATCTGGAAGTCATCTTTTGGGACCGGTCTCGAGCGCGGAATTCGATTGGCGTCGCCGTGCAGGAGTTACTGTTACTCTGTTTGCAGCAATTTCAGCTATAGCTCATGCGCCAGCGATAGATGTACTTTAACTTACGATAGGAGTGATACATTCGACATCCAGTAATGCGTTAATTAAAGAGCTCTTTCCTACACAATATTAGAACTCATCTTCCACCCGTTCAAAGATATTATTACCAGCTCCGTTATCCCCACACACGGCAATCTCCGTAGTCATCCCCCAGTCTCCTTCCAGGATCCGTTCGTTTTGCATCTTCAGATTTCCGACCCTCGAATCGCCTTTCAGAACGTCGTTATTATTTTCAAAGAATATCCGCAACTTCTTCGATACATCCATCCCAGCATCGAGTATCATCTCTAGACTTCGTCCTCTAGAACTTAGCCTATCAGGCCCCTCTTCCTCATTCTTATCCCCCACCTTATTTACCCCACTACTTCCCCCGAACGAGATCACGGAGCGCGTAGAAGTTGACATCTTATCGAACTTCTTTACAATCACCCTACTCATTGTTCGTATTTGTGAAGCTGAGCTACCAGCACTAACCTCCGAATAGCCCTCACCGCCAAGGTAACTTCGTGAGTCAAGAGGGCTAAGGCCATTATCGGTATTTGAGGGGGTACGGCGGAATAGAGAATCTCGTTTGGATGATTTTGAACCTGTGAGCCCGGAGAAGCTGAACCGAGACCTCTTCGTGGAGCTGATACTACTGGGTCTGCTGGTAGTAGTCATGATCCGGAATAATTCTTGATAAAAAAATTTGTAGTTTATAGTTTGAGCCTTGGGGAATTGAGCCTTCTTAACACCGTTTATAAGGGAGTGCTCTGTGACCATTGACTCGCAAGACAAATCATTCAAAGCGGGGCATGTGCGCCGACGCATAGCTGTCGTGCATTATGCACTCTAGATCTATGTTTGACGCAAATATCGAAATGTATGGCTTTGGTTTATCCAGGCGCTATGGCGCGCTTGAGAAGATGCAAAATGGAGCATTTCTGTGGCGCAATGTTTAAAGGCATCCAACCCATTCAACAAATGCCTACACTGGGTTTCCAACTTGCATGCTCGAACACACACTCGCTATCAAAGAGGACGACTGCAGTCCAGCGGCGCAGGTGTAGAGTACTCCAAAGTGGAGAACAGGGCCAATTATGTGGGTAGTTTAGATAGTCTAGAACTTAGCTTAGATCAGCAATTGCCCAATTGACTTTGTAGGAGGTGTAGTGCACCTCAAGTACCGACCTCACTGAGTGGTGCAAAAAGCGTTTTTCCCTCATGCAGGCAAGTTCAAATTTTGGTTCCTGGAAATCGTTCTGAAGATCTTGCACGCTGTTACTCAAAATGTGCCACATGGCGTCGACGTTGGCACCTATGAAACAATTAACTGGAGGAATGGACGTTGAGCGCCGAGACCGATGAAATGCACGTGCGGGTCGTTGTGCCAGCAATTCGGACCACAGTTGACTGCATGCAGGGAGACTTTAGTCGGTTAGCTCTCAACCTCCAAGTAGGTTTTTTCCTTCGAAATTTAATACAATTTCATATCACCATAGAACGTAGCTAGCACATACTTGATGGCCGACATGTACGTACCGGGCGTTGAGAGTAAATGCGAAGAATCTGATAAGGGAATCATGCTGTGAAATAGGTGTGTTTATCTTATCAGATTCTCGGTATTTATGGTTGACCCCGGTACAGCTGCTCGCTAGAATGTACTTGACATAGAGACTCTGACCGGTAGCATACATAGGTATACGCATCCTCATTAACTCCCACCTCCTCAATCTAATTCACTTTTCCCCTCGACCTCACAGATAATCTTTGTTGTCAGCTAGCTTTAATTGTGTGTATGCGTGCACCTACGGGAATCTGATGGCTACACCATACATGTAATCCAGGCCAGCTCATACCGGTTCCTCAGACCTCGAGGTTACTTGTAAATACATACATGTAATAAAACCTCCCACTTATGTAAGAACTTACTGTATGTAGGGGTATATGTACTAGTGTGTAGCGAAAAGTGATTAGAATCTGATGACAAATACACGTATTCACCGCAACATTCACTTATCAGATTCTGATCACTTACCCTCAACACCCGGTACATCTTTACCATCCACGAATTCGGCTTACACGATTTAATTAAGCGAATCCGGGCCCCGTATTTATCCGTCGTAGCATAAGGCCGTGGTGGCCCAACATTACTCCGGCACTTTCCACCTTCTCGATACGATCAAACTGTCAAAAGGCAACCACCCTCCCTGGCTGTGTACCAGATACATGTATATATGTAATAGATACCTGTCAATTACCTACATGACATGTAGATACCCACCTGAATCTCTTGATATCGTATCGTACGCTAGAGAATAGTAGAGTAGAAGATAAAACGGGTGGTTACGTGCTTCTAGAAGCACGGATTCTCCCTACATGGATGGCGTCGAGAGGTGGAGTGGGGAACAGGCAAACCCGGGGCTGAAGCGGCAGAGGCTCAACTGCAAACTCACAGCCCAACCCGGGCACAAAGAGTACTCTAGGTACATACATGTAGATCAGTAGAGTACCGACCTACTCTACCATGTAGGTCCCTCGTATTCAGTATTCTGACATCACCCTCAATCCCCTTATACGTATACGTACGTACCAGCTCTACCTACATGTGTTGAATATATGTACTAGCGGGTAGGGGTAAGTCTGTTGACAGTGGCCGTGGTTGCAACAGTTCTCACTGTCAACAGACTTACCCCTACCCGCTAGTACATAGCTACCGAACTATACATGTACCTATAGCTAGCTATATCATGCTCCACAATACTTTTCGGCCCACTCTATAGTACTCTACATATTCGTTTCTTCTCTAGACGCGTCACTACATGTACATGCTCTAAGGCTACTAAACACTCTACGCACACAATGCCTTGGGCTCGAGGTCGATTGGTGGAATACAGTCATACACATATATTAATAAATCTAAGAGGTAACATGATTCGCCCGCCTAGTTAGGTTTTACCAATCAAGCCGAGTATCGGGGAGTTTCCGTGCTTGCAAGGGCTTAGATAGGCGGTCGATCAAGTCTGAAGGGCGTAATCAATACCCCGGATATCTGCTAATCGATACGGATAGGGAACGCTCTTGGCAAAGAATATGCCTTGTCGTCTTCGATTACATACATAGAAACGGACCTTGTGCTACGTGCATGAATTATACAGGTACAACCACCCCCCCCCCCCCAGAAATAAGCTGAATTGTGTCCCTATTTGATTTCGGTACGAGCATTGTTACTCAGAGTTTTCTAGATGATCATTGTATATGCACGCATCTAGTTAATTGGCATGGCATGAAGCAATTAAACTACATGTATATCACACATTTCAAAGTACAAAGAATCACCCAGCATCCCATCCCCCCCCCCCCCCCAACCGTGCACCCTAAGCGCAACATATCCCAGGTATTACGGCCTCACTCCCGAGCCCTGCCCTCTCAATGATGCACTCCCCACGAGCCGCCTAACCTCTCTTTCCAGGAAGGTGCTTGCGTAGTGTATGCCCTAACGCGGTGCAACAATAAGGCCCGGTGCATGTCAGCGCTGGCTCTCCATATCGTACCATCCAGCTCCCAAATCCAGCTCCCACTACATATAAGAACTCCCTCATGTCCTCCATCCACACATGCTAGTAGGCAGCATAGACGCACTGCAACCTCCAGGTGAAAATGACATTCCGTCGCCCCCAAGTGCTCCTTCTCTCGCTCCTGAGTGGGGCCCTCGCTGGCTCAATCAGCTTGGATATCTTAGCCCCAGTCGACACTGGCCTCTCCAATATCCACCTCACTGTGACTACGCCCCATCCAAACCCTCTCACGATAACCTACAGCCCGTGCGCCGACTCCGACCCTGTATCTGCACATCACACCGTCGCAAGTAGCGTGCATGCGCTCAAGTCCTCGAGACTTGTATGGCGTCTTCCTGAGGACTCGCCCGAGGGTGGGTGCTTGATCGCGTGGGATGAGGCAAGCGGTCATGAGGTATGCCGGAGTGAGGTCGTGGATCTGAGCCTACGGAAGAGAAAGAGGAGGAGGAGAGACCTGGAGAGCATCAAGATGAATAACGCAAGTGGGATTGATGCGAGCGGGCCATGGTTTGATGGAGTGGCCTACCTCAAGGGGAAAAACGTTAGCCAGGTTGATGTGGAACTTGCCAAGGGAAAACGTATGCTTTAATTACCTCCGTTTCCTGGGTATATCATACGCGGGGGGGGGGGGGGGGGTTATATACTGATATTGATACGTGGGACGTAGGGATCGGTATTATAGGTGGTGGAATGGCCGGGTTGATGAGCTCTGTAAGTATTTTACTTTCATCGATAGCTTCTAAATGGCTAACAGGCATTATTCCACAGCTCATCCTCGAATCACATGGCTTCCATAATTTCGAGATCATCGAGTCCTCCCACCGTGTTGGCGGGTACGTAAACCACTCTCCGATTCCGGAAAAACCACACCCAGCTAACTCACGCAGCCGTATCCGTACGATCTACCTCGAAGGCGAACCTTCCGACTACCAGTACCAAGAGATGGGACCCATGCGCTGTAAGCTCTCTTGGCATCCACTGAAGCTACCTTCTAAAGAATACTAACTCCAGACAGTTCCCGAATCAATCAAATACCCCTCCACCAACGAAACCCTCCAAATCAAAGACCATCAGATTGTCTTCCAGCTCGCTGAAACCATCAACAAGCTCAACGGCGCCACTCCCGGGGACGATCTTTCCGTCGACTTCATTCCATGGATCCAGAGCTCGCTGAATGCACCTTCATACAACGGCGGCGTTAGGAATGCGGACGGAAGTGTCCCTACTGTAAATATTCATAGTCAGTCTCTATATGGGGGGCGTGATGTGCTAACGATGATAGGTGGGCGAGATTGCTGCTATGAACATCACGACTGTCCTCCCTCCTGGACTCGAACAGGTCGATGACTCAATCCGAGAAATCTTTCTCTCGCCGGAAAGGCTCGCTCTGTTGTCAAACAATATGTATCGCGCGCACAAACAATTCATCAGTAAATCCCACCATCTAGTGTAACCCTAACCCTGAGTATTCCAGGCTGATTGCAGGATAGACGAGGGATGGGACAGTTGGTCCGAGTACGGGTTCATCAGATATCTTTTGGGTGCCGAGCTCAATATCACCGATTTGGCACTTGACACACTTGATGGTGCGGGACAAGCCTCGTTTTGGGGGGCGTTGTAAGTTTTCCGTTGGCGACATATGGGTTGTTGTCAGCTGGTACTGGTTGTAGCTGACGTGCGGGGGTTGTAGATTCGAGACCTTCTATTTTTCGGCAACGACCTGGAGAACTATTGATAAAGGTAATTAAATTAAGGCCACTTGTATCATTCTCTGCCGGGTTGTGTGACTAATACATACACTCCACAGGACTTGAAAGGCTCCCACTCGCATTCCGTCCTTTCCTCGGCGACAGAGTCAAGCTCCACCAGCGCATCGAGAAAGCCGAGTATTTAGCCGACACAAACAAGATCAAGTTCTCGTGGCGAGATAATCTCACGGAGAAGGTATTCCAGGAGGAGGAGTTTGATTATGCGTTCGTTGCGGTGCCGTTTACGCAGGTCCGGAGTTGGAGGCTTCCCAGTGAGTCGACAGCCTGTAGTAGAAGAACAAGAAGTGTGAATGACTAACTGGCGACTGCATGTAGAGTTCTCGAGTGTATTGTCGAGGGCCATCGATAAATTGGAGTACGCCAGTGCATGCAAGGTATTTAAGCCAACCCCCCCCCCCCCAAGACATTCTCGGCGATGGGAGGCTAATATGCAATCACAGGTATCTCTCCAATTCAGCACCCGCTTCTGGGAGCACCTAGAACAGCCCATTCTTGGCGGCTGTACCTCGACCGACATCTATGGTAAGCTAATTCGCTCTCTCCGTATGTTTCCTGCCAAACATTCTAACAACCCCACTAGGAATTGGCACCATCTGCTACCCTTCCTACCAGCTTAACCGTACCGGCCCCGGCGTGATGCTCGCCAGTTATACCTCGTCTGACTTTGCCTTCCGAGCCGGCGCCATTCCCGAGGCGGACCATGTGCAGTACGTTCTCAATGCTATCGCCGAAATCCATGGGCCAATAGTCGATGAGCAGTACACCGGGAAGTAAGATTTTCGCGTCCTGGCCCATTTCCATACGTTGTTTGCTGACCATGAACCCCAGGTTTGATCGCCAGTGTTGGTTGCTGGATGAGAATGCTGCCGCTAGTTGGGCAGCGCCGGGCGTCGGACAACATGAGTTGTACATTCCGAGTTATTTTGAGACCGAGAATAATGTGAGTAGCCGTAATCTTGTCCTAGATATGAGAAAGTGCGACTTTTCAAGGAATGATTATTCACTGATGTTTGTGACTTAGGTCATATTCATTGGAGAACACACTGCCTATACACACGCCTGGATTTCCTCTGCTCTAGAATCTGCGGTAAGAGGAACGGTGCAATTGATGCTCGAGATGGGATTGGTTGATGAAGCCAAGAACATCACCTCCACTTGGATGGGTAGATGGTAAGACATCTCATCCTGAAAGCGTAGAGACCGAGTGCTGACATTGACGCAGGATGGTCGTTTAACGGACAACCGTCAAAAAGGAAATCAACGATATATCTTGATGCATGATGGTTTTTAATTAGTTTAAAATTGAGTAAGAATATAGATTGTCTGCCTAGAACATTAATTCTATGGAACCTGCTTTTCTCTCGCGAGTGATATTTCATGAAGATTTTCGAGATCGCCAGGAAGTGAGAGACGACAACTCAGGGCCGGGGGATTTGTGGTCTGAATTCATTGTCAACTTTTTCACATCGATAGAGATCTTGCAGAAAAAGTAGATTGTAGTAAGATGTGCTTGTAAGTTTGCCCACTGCTGGAATTAAAGTAGAGGAAGGAAGCGATTATAGGTTTTTTAGTAGAGTATAATACAAAGTCATCGATATCTTTCACTATATCTTCTCCGGGGGAGCATTTCCCCCTTCTCCCTCTCCGTGTTCACCATCGCCATGAGGATTTTTGATGGCTTTCATTAATTCGTAGAGCTGTCCGACCTGCTGATCTAAAGCAACGGTCAGTATTCAGTAATAACAAATTATAAAGCAACATTGAACCTACCGCTCATTTTATTCAACTTCTCCTCATCCAGCTTCTCATCCCGCCATGTATCGCCTTCGATTTTCTGCGCATATAGCTGCCACTCCTTCAGGAAGCCCACCTGCACCGCTATCAGTATTAAACCAAGTCCCAAAAACCTCTAGGCACCATAGCACTTACGATCTGCAGCGGGTTGTCAATATCCCTATGGCGCCTGAACTCGGCCTTGATATACTCATCCCCGAAGAACCGTTCCTGCCACCACCACAACTGATTAACCAACCACCCACCACCTTCCCCCATCTACCCATTCATTCGCAGATATAACCAAATCATACCATAGGGCCCAATTTATTCCTATGCGCCCTAAACAGCCGCCGGTACAGCGGGATTGGTGGGAGAAGAGCTATCCGCTTGTTGGCCTCCGATTAGCACTGCACAGCACCCCGTGATTCAAATGCTGTAGCCTTGCATATAAGAGCCAGCTCCAGCCTGATCGATTGATGGAGTTACCTAAAGTAGATTTCACCTTGTTTGGGATGCCATGTGAAGCGAGGAGGCGGTGGAATGTTCGCATTGTGAATCTTCTTGGGAGTGGGTGAATCAATTATCGATGATGCTGGCTGGGCCCGGGGATTGGGTGTCGGTCGGGTGTGTTCGATATATTCGAGCCTGAGGCGGCGCTGTCGGTGCTACCTAGTGGACAGCCGAGGTCTCGGGGGACAGGGATTACCCGGCCCGTGTCCAGTGGAGATGTAACGGCATGTACCAGTCGGTGGTGACCATGCATGCACCATATGCATACAATACCGTAGAGTAGAGTACCTACAGCCTCAAAGTTCGATCCCTACTCGGAAACTTCTAGCTTTCAAAGAAAAACAAAGCATATGTTTTCTAATAAACCCTCTGTCTCGCGTGGAATTGGTATGTAGGTTTTTCGGCCAGGAGTATGGCTCGAGAAGCTATGGCGTTTAAATTTGCAGCCAATCAGCCCACAGAAATTGGGAGATCTACTCCCATTAATGGTACTAGCGCCTAGCCTAACGGTGGAATTTTCTCTAATTCCCATACAAAAAAGTTCCTCTAAAGTTAACACACCCCTATGCCTTCTCGCGCCATATGTCCTTGTGCTCTTGTGCTTTTCTAATTCCAGGTCTGTATACGCTCACTGGACAACCTACATACTCGTGTCCGTGTCACACTGTAGAGTACGTAATGTGGACGTGGCATGCTAATAGCACTTACTTCTCAGCCTCTGCGGGGAGCACCTCCGGTACAACATCCGCATAAAATTGGGAGCGCAGAAATTCGAACACATTCTTCATCTGTAGCTGTGTGTAAAGTGTTTTCAAATATCTGAGTTGCCATGGCAACGGCGGCTCGATACCCCCACCTACTAAGATAACCAGAAGGGTTTTAGTTCGGCTGAACCAAACCTCACGTGTCACGCAACGAGAGTGGTAATGATTATTAGGAAAGATTTTAAATGATTGACAGGACACGACTACCTAACTCCCCACAACCCCACGATACATTTCCCATCCAAAGAGCGTGAAAGTACTACAAAGAAGAAGCGATGTAGATCGAGTAAGGATATGAAAAGCAGAAGAAAAACATAAATATTCCAGGCAGACAATTGATCAAGAGAAGAAAGAAAGGATTAAAAGAACGTAAATAATACGATAAAGACATCAATGAAACATAAATCAAAATAGCGAAACGAGAAAAAACTAATCACCCGCACCCGCCCTCATGGCTATCGATAACAAAAGTATTCTATTCTTCGTCCATGCCTTCGACTTCCTCGATCCGAGTAGTTTGGACGACGGGGGTTCCATCCTGATTCCTACCGTTCATTCGGACCTGTTGTTTTGGGATCTCAACGCCATGGGAGTTCCGCAAATGTTGGGTGAGATTGTCCTTGCGTGCGAATCCGTTATCTCCGACACGCTTACAGTCTGGCTCGGTGCAGTTGAATTTCGTCCGGTTCGTCTTGCCGATGTGAACGGAGTTAAAGTGTCTCCTGAACTCCCTGGGATCTTTAAAAATCTTCAAGCATTTTTCGCTATTGATTTCAGTCGTGCAAGCAGCTCCGCATTGACGACGACTCGCATCTGGCATGCACTGATGCGGCCAAAGTCTTGACTAATTGTTAGTAGAGTATCTAGTCTTTAAGCAAGGCATAGACCCATACCGAAACCTCCCACCGCAGGCATTTAAGGCACATTTGCGGAGTGGATGATAACCACGATCGTTTACCTCAGAGGGTGCATTTGGTTGCGGCAGTGATATTGGTAGAGTTGCGGGATTGATGTACGCCGGCATTGTTGATAGCTGGCCATGGTAATTCTGGAGTCCATCTCCCGTGGTTTCATTGGCTGGCCACGGGATGAAACAGGGAGGCTTCTGAGGTTGATAGATGCTTGGGCCACACTGCGCAGCTGCATTTTGCAAAGCTCGCTCAAAACAGTTTGTACACCATACATAATAATAGAGCCTGATCGTCAGCACCCTAAAAAAAAAAGCATTACCCCGCAGCTGCAGCACTAGTTTCCGGAATGCAGGTATGTGACATGTGTGTGTCTGTATGTGGTTAACTGGGAGTGTATGTGTGTGAGGGGCCGACGAATCAAAAGGTTGGGTGTAAAAATGGAGGACAGAACGAGCAGAGGTTTGCGAGGAGAGAGGTGGGGAGGTGAGTCTGACTTTATAGAGTACTCTCTCGTCACCCAGCTGCTGGCGGTGAGACGCCTCAGGGTCGAAAGAAATTAGTGCATAAGGCTCGAATCTTTATATATAATACCTATTGAGGTAACCTGTACCATGTGCACTGCAGCGTCTTCCTTTGGCCGTCCAATACATCGATCCAGTAAGGAAGGAATGGGCCTCGCGTTCGGCCTTCTTTGGTGCTCCGGGCCTCATAATTTTGGGGCCTGGCAAAGCTAGAGGCCTCAGCTTTTGGGACTCTGGACGGGTCAGGCCGGGCCCGGACCGAATCGGCCCATTTCCATTCTTAGTATCCAGCCATGATTATTACACGGTGTATGTACCTACATGTAGGTACTATTTACGCTCGACGTACTACATGTAAGCGCGGCGTAGGTACTAGCCCAAATATATATATGTATATACAACCCGGTACACGCAGACAAACCTCCACTATCCAGATCTGTTGGCCAGATTTCCATGAGAACAAAACAAGTTTACTTTGTCACCGGGATAATGTCATGAGTCTTTTCAATGTTTGTCCTATAATCACAAGTACCAGAGAATGACACGATATATAGAAACTAAAAACAGTAAGCAATATATAAAAATCCTTATATATATGTAATTAATACAAATCAATCAATTAACTTCAGTGCGAAAGACCAGTCTACACTGAAGCGGAAGGCGGGCGAGCCTCAACGAACAATTGAAAAGGGTGTAGAAATTTTTAAAAAAGTTAGGGCACAAAAATCGAAAAACGAAGTAAATCTTCTCCCCCTAAGACAAGAGGTGTCAAAACATTATGAAAAAGTTTCAGGAGGTACTATGACTAAGAATCGTAACATCAATAGAGGTACAGGAGGCATATATTCCCATGAATAATATTTAAAGTCCTAGCTATGCGCAAACACAGTAGTTTAATAGCTCTCACTAACCAGCTAGCGCTCCATCATATCCAGATATTTCCCGCATATATATTGGTCCAAAACCACCCCGGATATTGAATCTCATCGGATTCTTTGGGATTTTTTCGCCGTGGACACTCCTCAGGTGCTGAATGAGGTTATCTTTCCGACTAAAACCTTCCTCGCCAGTACGACGACATCCCTCAATGGTACAGTCAAGCTTCTGGTCTGTCGCACGGATATGTACTGTGCGGTAGTGGCGGTCGAACTGTCTTGCTTTCTTAAAGGTCGCTTTACATTCGGGAAAAGCGCATTCAATCTGCTTTTTATAGATATTTCTGCCGGAGGGGTTCACAGTACATGGCTTTGAGCATTTGTGTGACCAGCTGCGAGCAGTGGTGGTAAGTACATGCAGTATATCCCTAAGCATAACTTCGAATTCCTTCAGGTTGAAAATACATACTTTGCAATAAGATTACCATGTAGCCACGGCCGCGGACATTCAACTAGCACAAGCGGCTCTAATTCTCCATCCGAAATAGGTTTACGAGGGCTAGGGCTGGCATAGTTCTGATGAATTGCCATTTACACGACACGGAATAGTAGTTGTAGCTTGAGGTTCGATTCCAACACGATGGTTGAGCAGAGCCTACGAGCGCTGTGAACGAGTATAAATATTGTCCATCATGGTCAACTCTGCTGGAAAGATTGGTGTTGTGCAATTCAGTTAAGACGACTAGCTACAGGATAGGCGATATATGGTATGTTCCATGGCTGCAGAGAACCACTCATCTACAGCCGTTAAAGCGTTGGTAAATAAGCCGTGTGAAGAGGATAGATACCTTGCATCGATCACAAAAAAAGCAAAATCGAGCCTGATCGTCATCCACTGCGGAGGAGTCCAGTGAGACTACAGTACCGGTTAATTAGTATGCAGCGAAACGACAAGAGGTTGCGCGACGAGACTGCTGTTCGAAGAAGAAAAGAAGTGAATAAAATGGGGGCGATTCTAAAGTTCAACTTATGTATCCTGGCCCTTGTCAGGCTCGAACTGTAGTTACTTTTCGAACCTGCATGCAGTAAGTACTAGAGTAGGTACATACATGTATGCAGGAAACATGGGTTGGAAACACACCTTTCTTCCCGCTATTGTACCGAGTTTTTGAAATCTCCTCCAAATTTTACGTTGCAACCACGTTACACAGGCAGAAAAGTCTTTAACTATCAGGCTTCACAGCCCAAAATACCCCCCTGCAGCCATGAGCACCAACCCCGCCCCCCTTCCGGCAGGCCTCCCCCTTCCAGCATTCGCCGCCCCCCTGCTCCACCAAGCGGACAAGCACAAACTCTTCAACAAAATGGGCATAGAGGAAAAATCCCCGGCTTTGGACGACCTCCTGCAGCATATCACCTCCACCTTCAGCACCCAAGACTCCTCCATGAACCCGGCCAAGGCCATCATCAGCCTCCTCCTCGGCCTCTCAACCCAAGTCGAGAAACTTACCACCGAGGTCCACACCCTAGCCGCGAGACATACCGCCGATGTCACCCTCCTTAACGCACGCATCAACAACCACCCTCCCCACCACCCCCAGCCCCAGGCCCTCAGGCCCGCCCCTCCCCCCAAAGACAACCCGCCCACCAACCCCGCCAGCCTCCTCGCTCCGCCATGACTATCCCCCCCCCTCAGGCCAACCAGACCGAAGAAGTAGAACTCTACCTAAATGATCCTATCGAAACCATCGACCAAAACGGCAATAGACGCCTCCTCACCTATGCCGAGAAACTCAAACAACACCACGACAACCCCCGCCCAGCCGTCCCCCCCTCCGCTACCCGGAACGCAGGCCCTCGCAGACCTGCAGTACCCCAACCAGCAGCGAACCTCCCCGCCGCACAACGCCGGTTCTTCGCAACCAGGTCTAACCCCGCCCCCTTCCCGAACCACCAACAACTCGAGGCAAGACTCCCCTCCGATCTCGGAAGAGTCCTAGCCAATGCAGGCCTCACCCACCCTCACACCGCCCTCCAAGTCCAGGTCAACCGCAATGGCACCGTCACCTGCACCGCCTCCCCCTCCACCCCCGCCAAAGACATCGCCCCCTACTTTCCCGGACTCCTCGCCGTTCTGAACCTCGCCTGCAACGCATCCGAGAACCCGCTCAACGAATTCCAACTCGCACCAACCAACGTCGACTATGCCATCCATAACGTCCCCATCTTCGCCCTAGACGTCCCAGAGTCGCTCTTCACCCCCCACCTTGCTGAAGCTATCGCCCTCACCACCGGAGCCTCAGTCGCCAAAGCCAGATACCTCACCAAACCCGAAAATAGAATCGGGAAAACTACCACCACAATCGTCATCTCCGTCCCCGCCGAGGATACTGACAAGATCGGAGACCAAATTCGCCTATTCGGACGCTCCCGCCGGTGTAATAAACTATGGCCAGCTTCCCCCAATACCCTCTGCCGCAAGTGCGCCCGCCTAGGACACGCAACAGAAGGATGCCAATCATCCTCACCCACATGCCCGCTCTGCGCAGGCAACCACCTCCGCAAAGACCACCGCTGCCCCAACCATGCCTGCCCTAACGAAGGCCACCTCAAACCCGTCATCGAGTGCTGCGCCACTTGGAAAGCCAAATGCATCAACTGCGCCGGCAATCATATCGCCTCCTTTAGAGAATGCCCCGCAAGACGCTCCCGCACCCATTCCGCTACTACAGCGCCTGCCCCCCAGGGCTCCGCCCCTACCCCCCAGAACACCACAGGCAACCCCCTACCGGCTACCCTGCCACAACCCACCACCCCTCAGTCCGCATCAGTACCCGCACCCCAACAAGAAGGATCTGCGGAAGAGGACTTGACCATGACGCAGTAATGCCGGCACGATCCTCCTCCCTCCCCTCTTCCCCCCCCCCTTCAACCACCCATCGATCAGACATATCCAGCGGAGATCCTTCCAGCAATCTCTTTACAATCATCCAACTAAACTGCGCAAAGAGCAACGCAGTCTTTCTCTCTCTCTTCTCTTCCTTCTCTAAGCAACGCCCCCCCCAAATCGTCGCAGTACAAGAACCTTTCACCATCCTCAACCACCCTCTCAACGCACCAGGATACGAATGCGTATTCCCACCAACAACAGAAGACGAACCCGTGTCTGTCGCCTTCTATATACACCTTGACTTCCTTCAACATACTTCCTACTTCCCCATCAACTTCGATAGAGGCGACGTCTTCGGCTTGGCCATCTACTGGAGAAATTCCGACACCCCCTCCCTCCCAGCACAACTTGAAATAGTGAATGCCTATAACCGACACATCTCACCTAGCAGAAGATCAATCCTTCCAGAGACGTTATTCCGCAACACCAGAAACCCCTCCATTATCTGCGGAGACCTCAATATACACAACATCCGCACCGACCCCCAACGCACCATAAATAGAAGAGAGGAGACACTCTCCTCCCCCTACTTCTCCACTGCCGCGACCAATGGCTACTCTCTCCTCAACATCCCCGGCAGGATCACCAGAATCTCCCCCAACCCACTCCAAAGACATGGGGTCATCGACCTAGCCTTCGCAAACCCCCCCGCCCTCAACCTCTTTCACTCATGGTCCAATAAACTCCCTAATGCAGGATCCGACCACACCCCAATCAAACTACGATTCACCCTCTCCCCCAGCATGACCTCCCCCCCCACACACACCCCCGATTGGAAAAAGGCCCCCTGGCCGGCCATCCAAGAAACTCTCCGCAAAACCTCCCTCCCCCCGATCTCATACCCCATCGACCACTGGTTTGGAAGTGCTCTAGCTGCCATCACCGAACCTGTCCTCGCTGCCACCCCAACTAAAAGGCCGTCCTCATGGTCAAAGGCATGGTGGTCCCCTCACCTTTCAACACTCCGACGGATCTTCAACTCCGTCGCCAGAGCATACAGAAAGGGGCTATCACCCCCCTTCGAATACAAAGCCGCCCGCAATGCATACTTCTCGGCCATCCAAGAAGCCAAGAAGAGGCACTGGAACGACTTCATAGCCCAGGCCGACTCACAACAGGTTTGGGCCCTCAGAAAATCCACGACCCGGAACAAGGAAACTAAACTCCCCAAATTCCCAAACGCCTCCTCCCCAGATGAGGTCAACCAAGCCCTCATATCCCACTTCTTCCCCCCCCAACCAAACCCCACCCCGGCACCACAACCCGGCTTCTTCCCTGACACCCCAGAAGTGACAGCCATCGAAGTAGCCAAAGCACTAACCGCCTCCTCAAACAACTCAGCACCAGGCCCGGACACTTTCCCCCCCGTGGCCTGGAAAAGAATCCACCAAGGAAACCCATCTCTCATCCCCCAACTCCTCACCCCCCTCCTCAGAAGCGGATATCACCCGGTAGCGCTTAAGAGCGCCCTCGGGGTCATCCTCCCCAAGCCCAACAAGCCAGACTACAACTCCCCCGCCGCCTATCGGATCATAGTCCTCCTCGAGACGGTCTCAAAAATACTCGAACGGATAGTAACATACCGCCTCCATGCTTTCGCCTCCTCATCCCTCCTCATACACCCCCACCAATGCGGGTCAATCAAAGGACTGTCTACAGCAGACGCCGCAACCACTCTCCTACACGAAGTCAGGCTCCTCCAACGTGGGGGCCTGAAGGTCTCATCCCTCTTCCTAGACGTCAAAGGGGGCTTCGATCACGTCATCCCCTCCGTCCTTGCAGATACCCTCCGCAGCAAAAATACTCCTCCGTATATGGTCCAATGGGTCCTCTCGTTCCTTTCAGACCGCAAATGCACCCTCCTCTTCCCAGGCGGCCCACGAGCCTCCCTGCCTGTAGCCGTGGGAGTGCCTCAGGGCTCCCCTATCTCACCGCTACTATTCTGCATATATGTAGCACCACTACACATAGACCCGACCCCCGGCATCACCATCTCATACGTCGATGACTTCGCTTTCACAGTCGCCTCCACATCCTACCAACAGAACATCACCCTGCTAGAAAATGCCTTCCTAAGGGCAACAGACGCAGGCACCCCACGCAACATCCACTTCTCCCTCCCCAAAACAGACCTCATCCACTGGCGCACCAGCGCTGACAGAAGTGAGCCTTCCCCGCTCCCCATCACACTCAACCGGACCCCGCTCAACCCCAAAAGAGAAATCCGCTGGCTGGGCCTACAACTCACCGACAACCTCAACACATTTAATCACTTCTCTAAAAGATGTGCCTCGGCGCAAGCCTCCTTCGCCATTATAAGAGGCTTTGCCTCAGCCGGTAAAGGCCTCACCCCCCTCAACTGCCGACGCCTCGCAGTCATGGCAATTCTCCCCATGCTTACATATGGCGCCTCCGTACTCATCCCCACCGCCCGAGCACTCAAAAGGCTCGAAACCACCTGGCACTCAGTTCTCAGATGGGTCACCAACTGCTTCAGATCAACCCCCCTCTCCATCCTACAAGCCGAAACATCCTTCCCTCCGCTCGCCCTTTACATCCCCTCCCTACGCATCAGATATGCCGCCAGAATCCAGGCCGCATCCCCCGCGTACAACCCAGTCACCGCACGCACCCCAGACTCCTTCCACACACTCTCCACCTACAGAGAGACCTCTCACCGACATCTACTAAGAGGCCGCCCAAACCCCCCTGTCAACTGGAATTCAACCAGGAGAGGGGTAGCCCGCCTCCCCATAGATGACCTCTGCCACACACTACTCACCAACTCCCCCACTTTCTCCCAGAACCCCAACACCATCCACCCGGGCCTGGCGCTCTCCATTAAGAGAGACACCCTACAAATCTGGAGGAATAACCCCCTCCCAGACTACTATAAGTTCCCAATCAGCACACGCCCTCACCCCCACCTCAAACTCGACCGTTTCATCGCAGGTCGCATATGCCAAATGCGCGCCCACAAAAGCTACCTAGCGGCTCACCCAACATGGATGACCCAGAACCTCTCCCCAACATGCCCCAGATGCCTTCTCGAAGACGAAGACCTCGAACACGCCATCCTACGCTGCCCTGAGCGCAGTCCCCAGAGGGTAACCCACATACCCTTCGCAAAATCTCTAGATGACCTCTGGTCACCCCCCGCCTCACTAGCAGCCCTCTCCTCATACATAAGAGCCACTAAAACCGGGTACCCCCCACAAATGGGCCCGCCCATGTCGCCACCTTATGATCTATCCTCAGACTCCGACCTCACCTCTCTCTCATCAAGCTCGGCCTAGGCCACGCACACCCACACCAGGCCCAAGAACCCGGTCATAAGCGTCACGACCCCGACTCCCAAAGGGGTCCCCCCTCTGCTCTCCTTGGTTCTCTTCTCTCTTATGTCCTGCCATAGTTTGCATAGCTGGCACGAAAGTACACCGCCCCAGATGGGGACGTCCGAATTTCTTAGTTTGCTGGCCAGTAGGAGGATTGCCAGGGTCTCTTCTCAGCGTCTGCTTCATGTATACTGATATTTCTCCTTTGTCCTGTTCACTTCGGCGGTTTGGTAGGGGAGGGGTGTTGTTCACGCCATAGCCTAGGCTCCATGCGATATTCTTGTACCCAGAAATAAATGAAACACTGATTTAAAAAAAAAAAAAAACATGGGTTGGAAACAGGGCCTCTATGGCCATGACAGAACTTCTCCAATGTTGTCCTAGAGTACCTAGCGGTATATCGATCGATACCCGTCCGGGGAAGCTGTTGCTCAAGGAGTTACCGCGTGTATGTACTACGTGTGGGCGGGCAAAGGCTTCGGGAGCTTGGCCATGGGTTATTCTCTCGATTTCTGAGTATCGTCTTCAGACAAACGACGAGACAATACAGGCACTATGTACTATACCTTTTGCGGGGCGGGATTTAAGCTGGTGAAGACTGCTTTTCCACCTTTGGAGGCTCGAAAAGCTGGGGTTTTGACGGCGCTGGATCAGACGAGCCGAGTCAGCGCCTCGAGCTTCTTAGATATTGTTCCTCCGCATATATTCCCACCATGTGTTTATATGCACCATATATCGAACTACATAACACCGCTGGGTCACTACTATAATTAAACCCTAACCCTATAAAACAACATAATGTGTTCTAGAATGGCTCCATGGACTAATCCGAGATCACCGAAAATCCTGAGCGAGGCTCGAGCCACTCGAACTTTCACAAGTCGGCTCAAAACAAGCATCCACAAGCCGAGTCGAGCTTTTCCTCCTGTTCACCTCGACCACACTAATTTTCGGTGAGATATTTCTAGACTCCCTAACATTCACACTTTACCAATAACGGCCAGGTAAATTAAACGGTTTATTATCAAGAGAGATTATGTTTTAAGCTATGCCCGGCGGCTCGGATTCCCCACTAAAGGTCGATCGATTAACTCTTTTGGCCCGGAATTGTTCGTGAAACGGAAACGGGTATGATGCTGAATTCCAGAGATCAGTTTTAATCCCTACCTTGGTGATCCTGGACTTTGCTGCTGTGAAACATTACTACACAATACTAGAATGCTGGATAAATGTAGCTATACGTATGTCGAGAAATACAGTGTAGTCTAGTTTGCTAGGCTAGGAACAATATATAACGAACCACATACAGTTACACTAGCATAGCTAATTATTTATATGATACCGACACATTTATGTGGTTTAATAAGTAGTAAAACTATTGTACACTAGAGTACATAATTATAACTTTCAAAACACATGGATGATCGCCCGGGTACCCACGCAATAACTACCCGCACTCAATCGTGATTTCTAAGACCTATCAAAGGGTCTCGAATGGTCTGGAAGCTTCACCTTGAACACCAAGGCTTGACTGTCAAGGCTGTAGCCTGACGAGTCGACGTAGGTGTCCCTCCCAAAGTTGTAGGTTCCTATGCGTAATTATCAGTAGGCATTCAGGCGGGCTTTCTTTCCTTCTTTCTCGGCAGCGGACTTACCGTTCTGAGTGATAAAGTCATTATCACTGACAGCAATAACATACCACCAATCATCATCTCCATCCTTGCCATCAACGGGAACAATTGCTAGGCCCTCCCACTTCTCGTTGAGCAAGCTTGAGCCCTGATCCCCGCCATTGTGCAAACCAAACTTTGCAAGCTCATCATTATTGTTCATGTTGATGAAAGGGCAGTATGTCGCAGGCGTGATTTCAGACTTGAGAACACCGCTCGAAGACGAAGTGGTGATTGAAGAGTTTTGAGAGTCATATTTGGAGCCCTTGATGCTAGTAGCATTTGTGATGTCAAACACGTCGATTTGACGGTAGAGAGATTCGGTTCCATCGGCACCGTGGCCGTATCCGCTGTCGCGGGAAAGGATGAAGAACTGATTCCTGCCAACAGCGAAGATCTCGGATTGGGCAGCTGTGCGAGGGTTTTTCTTCTTTGAAGGCTGGGAGTAGAGTCAGCCATACCCGCGCCTCCCAATACATCTGTACTTTAGACAACTTCTAACTTACATCGGTGTACCCCGGCAGTGGAACGACAAACTCCTTGGCGTATCTCGGCTTGTCGTCCTCTGAGATATCGTACTTTAGCATCCGCGCGTATCTATTACTAGTCTTCTCCAATCCGCCATCCTGCACTGTTGCGGACTGAAGCAAAGCGAACAAGTTCTTGCCATCTCCGGAGACCGTCAATCCCTCAAAACCCTGGTTGTTTGATCGCCCAGAAGTTGGATCAATCGGGCTCGGGGAAAGAGTCTGGTCGTATCTGGGCGGGTTGTCGGATGAGAAGCTACACAGAGACGTGTAAGTGTACATTTCGATAACACCGATGGAGAAAGAAAATCTCTTCAACTCACTCTTCAACGCCGTTTCTCATGGGGATAAGTGCAGCCGGGGGCTTAATAGCCTGGGTCATCTTCCCGGATTCGTCGAAGTGATATATGAACGGGCCATACTCATCACTGATCCAAAAACCTTTGTTACCAAGGACTACCGCCTCGGGATCCAGGGAGACTCTCACGCCGCCTGGGCCAGCATCGCCAAATCCGTTACCGGTAAAGTTACTCGCGGGAAGGTTTGGAAAGTTGGAGAAGGGAAGTGAGGTAGTGGGGTCGAGTCCGGCGAGTGGGTTACCCGAGGGATCGGTGAAGAGGATTGAGTCGAGGTAGCTAAAGTGAAGGTTGGGAGGAGAGGGGGTAGTAGCTATCTCAGGGTTGAAAGAGATCTTGAACTTGTGGATTCGGGGCTGGTAAGCGGTTGTGCCTTCGGTATTCCTGCACACAAGATTGGCCTGTCAATGATTGTTCGACGGTAGCAGGTTCCTAATAATAATGGCCCACTACCAACTTACCAGCCACGGTCAGGAAGCATCCACAAGATCCCGTCATAACTCCCATTGGTCTTTCTCCACGAGCTCCGCTCAATAGCAATCCCAGAACCAAACGACAGAGTGTCCCCGAACTTGTCTCTAAAGTCGCTCGGCACAAATCCGTACCCACTCAGCTCCTGATAAGTGAAAGTCTTTCCGCCACATGTTGTGGTATCAACAGGCGCCTGGAGAGCATAAGCCGAAAACGGCAACAGCGAAAGAACAAGATAACGAAGGGTAGCCATAGATAAAATCCCTTGGTGCTCTTAACTTTCGAAAGAAGATGGAGAGGAAACAAAACGGACGAGGGACTTGAAGGCTCTATTTAACAATGATCCTGAATCCCCGGGATTCCGAGGAACATACCAGGGTCAACTTCCTACGTCCAATTGTTCCTCAATGAGCTCGGGAAATTCAATCACGTTCCTGAATCCTCAGATCCGTCCTTCCCGATCCATCTCGTGAGTTCGCTTTGTAGAACCTCAGAATCCCGTTGAGTAACCTGCGAATGTGATAGGCTAAAGTCGCATGCTGAAGGGCCAATCTCAGCACTCGAGTGACGGAATCAAACGTGATAGATTTCTACTCTTGGAATTCTGGGAGTAACGGTGATGATATTAGCAGTCTATCGTGGGGATTAAGGGGTTGGTTATGGCATAACAGGACTGATCGGAATATTACAGGGTGGGAAACCGACAAATGATTCGACAGTGTGGGAAGCATGGAATATTTGATTGGGCAGTTTAGTTTCGGTTCAGTGCCAAGTGAGCAGTGCCAAGCGAGGAGCAACTCTACATACAGCTTATCTAATTAATTACGCGGCGAGAAATGATACTTCACAACCGAAAAAAAAGAAGAAGAAAAAAAATAGAATCTAATTAATCTCTTACATTCTTCTGTGGTCTTTCAAATTATTCAATTTGTTGCTGGTTGTTTTGGAATTGATGCATGGAGACAGTTTATTAGTTATTCTTGAGTCACCATCTAGTATTCGTCTTGGCGCACCAACTATCACCCGCAATTCCAGAGATGATGTGCTCGCAGCGCTACATGTTCTTATGTAAATACATGTACTTTCTACGTATCTGGGTACAGTTCAAGAGATTGTTCAAACTTCTATTTAGTCGGATTGAGCGTGCTAAGCTGCAATACAACCCACTAAAAATAAATCCAAAATAACCTGTAGGCCACGAACAATTTGGATTAAGTGCACCCTGAGTGTGAGAAGGAGATACAGATGCGCATATGCGCAACATCAGACTTTAGACTACTGCTATGCCATAGAACCATTTACTCTCTCATCAACCCCATATAATATGTCCTATTCTGTTTACCGGGTTAGCCCTATCGATCTCTACCAGCAGGCCTTTGCGCAGAGAGTCATTTTTGGCAGTCTTGGCATGACCGCCCTGCACAAAGGGCCTAAATGTAGTCAGCATGTGTGCCAACAACCTAATTAAACCCGGGGCTTGAAACCCTGTGTCAATCCGCTAGAGAATGAATTAAAGAAAGAAAATAACCTATAACTCGCTCGAGCTATGTATAATTGACTAATACATCTGCGTTTGCTGGTTAAGACATGTATTATTTGATTTCTCACGTTTCGGAGTGTAGTTAGGGCTTGGGGTTGCGCCCTTATGGAAGATATTATCAGAAACATCAGAAACAACAGATATCTACTCGCGGAGACGTTCATGTGTGAATGCTCTTTTGCGCATCTGTCGAGAAGTGAGTGCAAAGGTGAAACTGCATGGGTTTCCCACTTCGCGAACTCAAAGCAGTACTATTGCCTGGGTGTATGTAAGTAACTACACGTAGGTGAATTCTCTAATCACAGCTCTAGTGCCATGATTCATACGACATCAGCTAGACAGCGATGAGTTTGCAGTTATCCTTCTCTTGCTCACTAGTTACAGTACTCATCCCAAGACCTGAATCGGAATCAGAACCAGGTCGGTGTTTGTGATAGTGCCGGTTGTCTTCCAACCGAAATAACCTGCTTAATGTTACTATTACCTATTCCTGCGCCCCGGGTGAAACATCCCCTCTCCATATTGGCTGCTTCTTGTTGTCTGCCAAGATTTTCCTGCCACGCCTACCCCCTTCATTCATCGCCATTTTCTCCTCTTCTCCCTTTCACACACCAACGACAAAATGCCACCAACACGAACGACCGTATAACTGCTTTTGCAAAGAAATCCACATCGTCATCATAATCTCCTCATATCCAGCTTCAAAATCAGGTAAATCTCGACTCGATATCCTTGGGGGAAAGTAGCCGATGAAACGGCAATGGAAGGAAGACATGGCGCGGCTAACAGCTCATCGGTCGGCAATTAATCAGTTCGCAGTCTCGCCACCATTCACAACTCGCACCCAAAATTCAAGATCGCCAAACTCCCGCCGTAACTTCCCGAAAATTCGCCACGTACATATTTTAACACTCAATATTACACCTTTTATATTTTTTTAAAACCGAGACCGACAAATTTATTAACCACATTTTTATATCGTTATTTTCTCTACAAAATGAACACAGATCCGCACTCACCGCCATCCCCTGGCTCCACAACATCGGAGAGCCCTTCGAACCACTACTCTGAAGTACCCACTGAACCTATTCCTGCTAGCGAAATTCTTCGTTGGAACGAACATATGACTCGGCGGAAGCACTTTCTATCGGATTATGAACGTTATAATCCTGTCCAGAACATGCATGCACTAGCCAATCATGTTTTCGATCTCTCGGAGAGTGTACACAGTATATCTGATCAGGTAGCTGTTTCGGGCCGGACCTTGGGGTTTGTTCAGGAACACACCCGGGATACATCAGAATCTCTACGCTCGGTTGGAGAAGAATTAACACGTTTGAAGGGAGATGTTGAGGGACTCAAGGGAGAAATCGGAGAATTGAGAGGTCTATTTGAGGAGAGTAGACGCGAGACTCAGCAGGGTTTTGCAGAACTTAAGGGGATGATGCAAATGCTCATGGGGCTCAGGGCTTAGGTGTGTACCCCCATCCACCACATAATATCTTTTGCTGCGGGCAGCAACTGAGAGGTTCTTATCAACCATAGCATTGGGACGGCGTTATTTTGGATTATGGCAGAGGTGCATTTTTGGTTTGGAATCGCGGTGTTATCATTTCTTTTTGAACCCTCCTTCGTGAAGACACTTTTTGTTTATTTTACCCTTCCTTCCACGGCGCAAAGCATTCTGTATATGGAAATCGATCCGAAAGATGCCGTACGGTACATACTACTACCTGTGTCTCTGGCAAGGCGTTTTATGATATTCCTACGGAGTACTTTTCTGGTCGATTTCTTTTTGCATGAAAACTTACTGTCATTCTATAACTTTATTTCGTGGAGAGAAGGGTGAACCGCTATATATTCTACAGGGAAGTTCCTCTTATTTGTCGTTCTTGTTTATTCCCCGGGTGGTTTCCCCTAGCTGTAGCCTTCTGCACATGATTACCACTGTGTTTGAAGTTATTATACAGGGGAAAGGCGTTGTGTATTGTACTATCACTGGACAAGATGCAACAGGAATTGTTCTTGCATTTCGTTATTTCGTTTGTTGTTTTTCCTTGGTTGTCTTTTGGGGGTTCAGGCTGTTTATTGTTCTAATGTTTGCTTCTTGTTTTTGCAATTTTAAACATTTATTCTAATCCTGCTGCAAGTGAGTGGAAGCGGTTTGGCCAGCGGGTTCTGAATTAAAGTAGCACTTACATGCAGGTTAGCATCGAAGAAAATGCATGTGTTAGGTGAGTTATTACTCGAATTCATGAAATGATATCAGGGAGGAGTAGATTTGGCGGACTACTTGTAGTGATTATATTAATTCTGGTGGTCATTTATACCTTTTTGGGTTGATGGGGTCTGGACGGAATGTGTTTCTCGTTGTCTTTTACAAACACCAGTGGGCGTAAGTTCCGGAACCGGTCTGAAATGGAACCAGTAAGCATTCCGTCTACGATTTAATCTTAATTTCACTGTTGGCTTTTGGGCGGATCTGATTTATTATTAACACTATTAATCTGATCATAAACGAATTAATAATAATACTATCAATCTTCAAAATATTAAAATTTTATAATTTACGACTGCTCTGGACATGATTTACTCCAAACGAGCTCCCTACGCAGTCTTGGGCTCTCAGTACAGCATCAAAAAGAATGGTTAGCTGCCAACTCTGCAGCCAGGCTAGGAACACATGTATAAATTGAACGTTGGGCTTGCTCGACGAAGAAATTGAGTATGTCATTTCGAGCTCTACAGCCTTCTTAGGGGTGTCTACTGCCGGGCCAAAGACCAAATCGCCCTTCAAGGAACTAATAACAAGACCTAGATATTCGAGTGATATTTGATGATGCTTGGCCTGACTACCCTAGCTAATCGAACACCCCCCCACTCAAGGTTGTTTGTCATAACCGGCTTCTGTACTGTTATTTCCCCAATCACCATCCACTGTTCGAGTGAGGGGGTGCTTAAGTGGCTAGGGAAGTCATCTAACGTTACTCCTATTGAGACACAATTGCAAGCTTCCTTTTCTTGGAATCCCGTTATGTATTCGCCGTAATTACTGTCTCTTTTATTAAGCACCTAAAGTCAAACTTATCAATGTGATCCACTCTCGGCTTGTTTGCTAGAAACGCTCCTTTGACTACATCTCCATAGATCACGTGATAGGAGGGTTAGGGTTGATGGCCATACCACCTCCAACCCCCGCTCTCACCAACCCGGCAGCCAGCCAACCACAGCAAGCTTCATTTGAATGTTCTCATTCCGGCAGGGCGGTTTCCCAAGGCCCATAACCTCCTTACCCATAGGATCCAAGCGCCCCATGTCCAAGATGAATCGAACAAAAATCTATCCCGCGCTTCAATTGCTGGCTGAGAGTGAGACATATCGGGTTACTGGTTCGTGTTTCCAGCCACAGCTTCGTACTTATATCTTACATCACCTAACCAACAACTTGATTAAGGAGGATTTAAGATAGTGGATAGATGGTTCCAGGTTCCGTTGGATTACTTTAATCCAAGGAAGGGTAGTATTAAGATTTTCGCGAGAAACGCGATTCCAAACAAGAAGGATGATGATGGCGCAGCTGGGGGAAAGCTTCCTTACTGTCCGTAAGCTCTCTAAAGCCTAAGAAGCTTCTGATGCTTACTATACTGTGTAGTCATTTATCTCCAAGGTACCTACGCCCCGAATGAATAAGAAAACTTATGTCTTGACAATCACATAGGTGGCCCTGGCTTCGGATGTGGTCCTCCAAGCTCCCATCCGGTAACAGATTTCTTATTCGAGCAGGGCTATCAAGTTTTATATATTGACCAACGCGGCACGGGAATGAGTACACCGATTTCTTCCTTCACATTAGCGAAACAGGGCAGTGTGCGAGAGCAAGCAGATTATGTGAAGCTTTTCAGGGCAGATAATATCGGTGATCCTTCTCACCTCGTAATTGGAGATGAAGTTAATCCTGATAACCTTTACAGTGAGAGATTGTGAGGCTATACGTTTATCATTGCTTCCGGAGGGTGAGAAGTGGTCGGTCATCGGGCAGTCGTTTGGGGGCTTTTGTGCGGTTACTTATCTATCACTTCAGTATGTAAATCCTTTACCCTCTGGTTTTCTATATTATGCTGATACTTTCCTCGCCATAGTCCCGAAGGTCTTAAACAAGGTACATCATAGTTCCTTTTCTACAACTCTATGCTCTCGTACCTCAACTCATTTCCTCTTAGTGTTCACCACTGGTGGGATGCCCCCGCTTGTCAACAACCCAGATGAAGTATACAGGCGTATGTACCTCAAGGTCAAATCCAGAAACAAAGTATATTATGAGAAATATCCTAGAGATATTAAAAGGGTAAGGGATATTATGAAGTATCTGGAAAATAATGAAGTGTTTATGCCGAGCGAGGGAATGTTAACCCCGGAGAGGTTTTTGAGTTTGGGTTTGGCGTTTGGGGGACATGGTATGGCCCTCCATCTCGTTTCGTCCCTTCTGTTCTGTTAGATGAGCGCTGACTTCGGGACAGGAGGAATCGATTCTGTTCATAGTGAGTAACAGCACCCCCTGCTGTAACGGATGTACGTTTTTCGATTTAACAACCATTAGTCCTTGTCCAAAATGCGGCCAGTGACCTTAACCAATTTGGAGCTTTGACCTACAAAACCCTCTCCTCTATTGAGTCACACCAAAGCTTCGACACGAATCCCATCTACGCCATCGGCCATGAAATGATTTACTGCCAGGGGTCCGTTTCCACATCTTTTAGTATTACCCTACAGCTAACCTTGCCGCTTATGCAGTGAGTCATCACGATGGTCCGCCCAAAGGGTATTAGATGCTACTAGTAAGCCCTCAATATTCTCGTGGGAGGACATGAAGGAAGTCGACGAAACCGAGCCTGTTTACTTCACTGGCGAAATGGTAATCTTCCGCTTATTCTTATCAACTTCGTGGCGGTGGTTGATGAAAGCAGATATATCAATGGATGTTCAGCGACTTTGCAGAGCTCCACAAGATGGAGGAAGTGGCGGAGAACCTTGCAGAATATAAAGACTGGCCACAGCTCTACGATGAAGAAGTGCTAGCACAGAACCAAGTTCCAGTCTTCGCTGCCACATATATCGAGGATATGTAAGTGAAGTGTTTAATCCGGTTGACTGAACCCTTTTCTAAGTAATATGCAGGTATGTGGACTGCGATTTTGCTAGGGAGACTGCAGGGAAGATTAATGGTGCGAAGGAATTCGTGACGAACGTCATGTTTCATAATGCAGTCCGAAGTAAGACGGAGGGGGTGCTTGGAGAGTTATGGAAATTGAAAGTTGGAGAGGTTGATTAGTGACTATGTGTAGATACATATGGCGAAGATTTGGTATCTGGAGCACCGGATATAGAAAGAAAGAAGATCCTCGAGCTTAACCAGGTTATAGTTGGCTCTGGGTCGATTGATGGTGGATTAGATATAGATACTATCACCCTAGGCTTAAATACATGCATAGCGAAAGATTGATTTATTGGATAAGTAAGGAACTGGTAAAAGACTACAATGCCACGGAGGACAGGGATAAATGTCTACAATGCCATATATAATAACTAGCGTGTGCACAAAAATTCTCACATATTTCCAACTTAAAAATCTGAAGGATCTGAATGGGCAGACATATTATTAATTATATGCCTAGAGGGTTTTTGTGAATTTTTGTGAGTTTATTACATAGTTTTTTAGAGCAATTTCGGTGGCTTGAGGCGGTCAACTTCCTTCCTCCCTAGCAACCCTCAAAAGTCAACCAAAATACCACTAAAAAATTCGAAAAAAATATGATTCAAGATAATTAGAAGCCGATATATTTTTTTAAAATTTTATTTTAAATTCGCGGGCGGGGGTTTGAAGTCCTGGTATCAGCTAAAGAATTGAACGAGGTGTCACCAATTTGTTGTTGTAGACATTTATCCTTGTATGGTGCGCACACTCATAAAGGTGATGGGGTGGCGTACAGAAGATACAGAAGTGGAACAATTGTGGCTGCAATATGGCCTCATGGGCCAATAAGAGAGGGCCTTCTGCTGCATCACTGCCATGGCCTGATCGGGTTTGCTTCTTTAAGGGTATAAATGGGTATAATGCTGTTCCACTTTGCTCAGTCTTGGCGCTTTTTACATACTAAAATACCGAATTTCAAGCTTGAATAACTTTTTAATCAGGACAGATATCAAAAATCGGATTGGTAAAATTATTCTTCATTACTAGTACTTCAAATTTACCAACCCGATTTCTGATATCTGTCCTGGTTAAAAAGTTATTCAACCTCAACCTTGCCCTAATTTTTGACTACATTTATGACTGGGCGCACCATACTCCGTGGCATTGTCTTGTAGAGTTTGTGTTACGGGCTAGTGCAATAACAACAATTCTTTCGCGCACTGCACCACCGACGCCAGTGCGCCAACGTCGATGACGGTCCAGGAACGGCGAAAATGATTCGTCCGATGTCTAACAAATGTGATGCCATAACTAAAGGGAAGTTTGAATACGCGAATAAATCAAGAATCTACATACTCTAGGTATCGTAGTTCGATAAGATCTAAGACGTTTGTCATGTTGTAATACATATGTCTTACCTATTACCAAAGGCAATCTCCGCGTGCATTAACACGCCGCTTTATTCTATGGCATTCGATTGGTTCTTTGGTTGCATTCGCGAATTCGTGCTACATGGTACATGCATCGTGTAACGTTGAATAACCAAACCTCAGCCCCGGCGCGTCTAGTCATGTAGGTATTTAAAGTGGAGCGTGGAGAGGAATCAAATGGGGGAATTGTATGTGTATGGCAGCGTAGTCCAAATCCAGTGTACGGGGTAATAAGTGAGAGAAACCAGATATATCAGCTCCATAATAACTGGCGAATCTATACGAGACAGAGAAGATCAAATATATATTTCAACAAAGTGTAACTGACTGTATCGAGTACTCTGTTAGTACCTGCATTGGTACGCTATATATGTGGCGTTTTTTGTGTTTGTGATCAATTATTGAGGCATGCAGACTGCTGTTGTACTCTACTCTACTGGTCAACTCATAAGACATCCCCACATCCCCGAAATCTACGGTTCAGACCAAAGCTGCATTGGCCCTTTTTTTTTGTGGGTGTGATGAATCTTTCTACGTGCTTATTACGAGCACTATAACTGTAGCATAAGAGAGGGTCACCACCCACCACCCAGGTCTCATCCCCTCTTTCTGTTTCTTTTCAGTATAAATTCCTCAAGATTCAATTATGAACACCCACAACCAAATGTCAGACTATCAGAAGAATCGCACCACAAATGTCGCTGCCTCCCCTGTACCCGCGATGCCAACACCAGTAAACTCAATGCCGATATATCAGTATCCACTGTCCCAACAGCCACCGCAACCGCAACAACAACCACAGATGCAAATGCAGACGCAATTTCACCCTCAACATGCTCAGCCTGTCCAGCAGCTTGCGGAACACTATACACCACAGCATGGACCCACAGGCCCGTGGCAACATGACATGTGCGATTGCTTCGACGACCTGTCGACATGTACTACCTTACCACTTGAATTACTTGATGGTGTTGTGGGGCAGCTTTACTGATATAAAATTGACATAAACAGGTCTTCTGGGATTCTGCCTCCCCTGCGTTCTTTACAGTAGAACTCTTGAGCGGATACGGACCTCACCTTCAACCTTGAAGAATTGGTCGTGTATAAACCTCGCCGTAAGTGTCTCTCTGCTAGTACGCTCACGCTCAGCTATAGCTTTGATACTAATAGATTATTATTTAAACAGTGTTTTTTCTGGTTCTGCACATGCGGCTCAGGTTCAGGTCGTCAGCGGAGTGAGATTAGATACAGATACAACCTCCAAGGAAGTGGGGTGGGCGATTGCTGTAGACACCTTTGCTGCAGTAGCTGTACGTTGATCCAAGAGGATATCGAGGTGAGAGACAGAGAGCGGGCGAGGGCACAGATGGGAGGGTATGCGGCGCCGCAGCAGATGAGCTATATTGCGCCCCAAACCCAGGGACAGATGAATTATGCACCACAGCGCTAAGGGCGTACTATATATATCGGGTTTGAGCAATTTTGGAGCGGTTTTTTGGGGCCAATTTCTTTTTTAGCTATGGATACTTAATGATCGTAATGAACAATGACTTGTGTGGTTATGGGTACGGTTTGCGGGTGGGTCGTAGCGCGCGTTTCAGGCCTTTTCATATACAATGTGTTTGTATTGGAGTATCGATTATGTCTGTCTAGCTAGCAGGTATGCATATGGTAATCAAGCATTCGAGAGTCACTGTATCGGTGTTTTTAGACGAACTTTCGCTTACTATGGAGCTAGCTGAGTTTGAATTCTAAAAAAGTTTTAGTACTTACAAGCGGAGTGCGGCCTTTGGCTGCCTAAATGTAGTGAGGAAATGAAGGTACAGGCAGTACTGCGATAGTAATTTTTCTTAGCTAGATTATTGCTGTCATTCTGGATTATTGGGTCATCCAAACGCACTAAACCTCGTCTCCATCTCTCTTTATATGTAATCTGTGATATATTAGCTTTAGTATGCACCCCAAGTCATTCAATGAGTAGCGTTAGTATGTACATGTAGTTCATGATAAAATGGTATCAGGGGAATTCGACCTTCATATATAAAAATATAGTTGTAGTTCTGTCAGTGTTTGTTCTTTTATATCCATCAATTGCAATAGCTACACGCCTTTTAATGCCAGTTCCCTTCCATCTCGGGAGTAGTTCTTTGTCGAAATATGATATGCAATCAATATTAGAAATACATGTAGTGCGCTGCAACCAATAGGAGACATTCCTGGTGACAATGAGGAAGACTATATAGTTTAGACATGTGGTTTCGGAGGATCGGTCAATTCTTTGTTTTCAATAAATTTAATAAATATCTCAGTCCACTGTCTCGCTCAATTGAAATGTATGAGACTCAACCATGATATACTTTCCTTTCGAATTTCGGATAGCGTATGTACACGGGCGGTCACTCTGTATTTGTTATTTCGTTGCACATGCGCATTTCGTATGCACAGTAACCAACCCAGGCTTTCAGAGTTTTATGAGACGCCCAATAGCAGAGTTCTTGAATGTGCTTGTACCCGGCGGGGTGGTCATTCTCTTGTATCAAGTAAATATCTTACACCAACTGGAGCGAAGCTTTCACACGCAACCACTGTGACAGCTTACTAATAATAATACCGATCGCTAATCATTCGAAAAACTTTGAGGGGTGATGGTTTCCCAGATTATAGTTCTGATGCAATTCCTTGTTCGTTCCGGATTAATAGCTACATAGAAGAGGAATCTCTAATTACATGGTGCTGTTGTGACTACACGTACACAACGCCTTTCCTTAATATTCTTAAAGGGTCCGGAAAGCACCTACTTTGTGCCAGAACTTACTATGTAGAATGAGAGATCTGTAAGTACTGGGTGGAGGTTATAGTGACTATTTCCCGCCTCGTAGCTCTCTATAGATTTTTCTAATGGGCTTGTTTGATATACTCTTTCATTAAATTAATTAGTATAGCCTTTCGGGGGTAATCGAGTTGTTGGTGGACAGTGCAGACTTCTGGCCGCGGTAGTTGTTTAGCGGGTCCCTGGGGACATGGAATATTCTGGTAGAGAATCAAGTATATATATATATATATAACTGACAATAAGGGCAGAGCCTGAGCTAGGGAGTTGAGAAGATCAAAAGTGATAAAAATCGGTTACAGCGGACTCTATGTATAGTGACGGGCACGAGACAAGACGAGACGAGACTTGGACAGGTCTTGTCTTGTCTTGTATTTTTTTCATTCTGGTCTCGAAAGTCTCGAGAAAATGGCCCAGTCTTGACAAAGTCTCAAGACTTCGTGGTCATGTGACTTTGATGCCAGAAAAGGCTAGAAAAGGCAAGTCGGAAGTTTGTTACCAAACCCTAACCCTGGTTTAGGAGTTTGCAATATCAAATTGTGTGGTAGAAAAAAGCCAAAAAAGTCTCGAGACAAATCTCGAGACATCTATGACCAGTCTTGTCTTGTCTCGTCTTGTTGTCCCTAAGGTCTCGTCTTGTTTTGCCAAAAGTCTCGAGATAACTTGTCTCGTGCCATCACTATCTATGCATGTACTCATATATAAGACTGAAAAGCCTTGATCTTATATGCGAATATGCGGGTGGCCAGGTTGTACACTTGGGTTTGAAAGCCCAAAACCCGAACCGCGTTAATAATGTACATATGTTACTTGATGACGCCAAGACACAAACGCGAGTGAGAATCTGTGATAACGTGGCTTGAACTGCCAAAGTTAGC